AACTAGAAACAACAAGAGTTCAAGTGAATTTTGATACACATTATAAAATCTGGAGATTGGTTAAATAGTTTGGAAATTAGAATTAAATGTATGAAGGTTTTGTATACTTGTAAAAAATACATATATATAAGAAATAATAATGTCATATCTAAATATTGATTTCTTTTTATAAAAATAGTTATGTAATATTTTTTATTTTTTATTTTTTATAAAAAATATCTTTGAAATGGAAATTAATGATATAAACTTAGATAAAATATTGAATAAGATCTAAAAACACAAGGTTAAACAATAATATAGAATTTAAGAATATTTTGACTATTAAATTTTAAAAAATATTCATATAAAGATAAAAATTGAAGTTTTATGCTAAAATACCAATTTAAAAACTTAGGTTTTAAAAATAATAAAGTTTAATATTAAAGATTTTAAAATCTCTATTTTAACTTTGTATGCTATTAGAACCAATAGAATAGAGAAGAAATATCTTATAGATATACTTTTATTAAGAAATGATGCTTGTAATTATACAACTATAATTATTTATGCATTTTGATTACATAATCATGTGCAATAACCTTAACAAGGTACAAAATTTTAAGATTTGTTTTTGCAAAGAAAAATTAGATATAAAATGATTAATCTTTGCCAACATTTTGAGTTTTTTAATTAAAAAACTTTAAAAAACGGTTGAAAAAAGTCCTAAAAAACTTCAAAAAACCAATAAATGTATATTTATAAGAATGTATAGTATTTATGGTATAAAGAAGACTTTGAATGATTTTTTAAAAAATTATGAACTGATATGTTTAGAGTGAAGAGATATATGTACAGATTCAAGTTTACAAATAATTACATGTTGCATTAGATTGATATTACTTACTTAGAAGTGATTTTCCATGATAATTATTTTGTAAAAGTTTTAGCAAAATGGTATTCAATATTTAGTTTATTTTTTAGTGAATATGTAAGCCAAATTCATGCACCTTATTTTTTGAAAATAAATTAAGTTCTTTCATGTAAGATAATCAACAAAACTGCTAAAATTATATGAAGAAGGTAAATTATTCACGTTTGGAGCTTACAGTGAATCATTTGGAATGTGAAACAACAATAAAAAGAAAAAAAGGAAAAAATGAAAACCAATGAACATGACATTCACGTTACATCATTTTTACATTAATACAGAAGCAAAATATATGTAAGACCGAAAAAACTACAACAGAAAAAGGAACTATTCAAGACAAAAAGGAATTAAAAGTTAAGCTGAACAAAGCCCATAATTCAAACGAAAGTTGGATGTTAGGGGAAAAAGAAACAAACAGAGAGAGAGAGAGAGAGAAACCATCTACCCGGTTGAGAAAAACAAGCAACAGATGCATTACCAGCATGACTACTTCACTTCCCTGTAGGGAGGGGGGGGGGAGGTGAAGTGAGGGGGAGAGATGGCAACAATGGTAGACAAAGCAGCAGGACTGACTGGCAAGAAGAAGAAAAGGGTGCAGCACGCATGCAAAAGGCAGAGCTGGGACCTCACATTCCCAACCCTAAAAGTGGCAAATTGGGGTTCTACCTGACAGCCAGCATGATGCCAAGCACAGCCTTTGAGCATGGCTGAATGCAATGCAAGCAAGTCAGCAGAAGAGCAGGAGCAGCAGTACTTGCTGACAGATCCATGGACCACTCCTGCGCCGGAACCACTACAAAGATGGTGCTAATAATACCTCTACACGTAGATCTAGATTGCCAGAGGATGTGGGGCATCGGTTCTCCTCCGCCTGGCCTTCCTGCTGCGTGCCTGCCCGCCCCTGCCCCTGCGAGTCTTTACCTTGATAAACTCAAGCGCCGCGGTTGCAGAGACGCATGGAAAGAGAGAACGATCTTAGCCCTGCTGCACCCTTTGACGGTGAGGTACTCGAGTGACTTGGGTATTCTTAATCCCCTCCCTGCACCTTTCCAGCTCGGAGGGAGGGAAAATGGTATTCAGTTTTTAGAATTGGGGCTGGCTGGTCAATTGGATGCTCTTGACTCGATGCAGTCCATTGTGCTTCTTCATCTTTCTTCTTCTTCTGCTGCTGCTGCTGCTGCTTCTTCCTCCTCCACTACTGCTGCTTGTACTACTACAGTGATGGAAGTGTGGGTGAAGACTGGTTGCGGTTGAACCAGTGGCCTGTTGTCCTCTACTAGGGAGGAGCTTTGCCAAAAGACAAAAGAGTGGGCATAAATAATGAATAGAAAAGCAGTGAACTTTTTACGTCTACTAGGGACTTTCAGGAAACTCTGCCAGTCGACAGAATTGCTGCATCCATGGAAAAAGTCCCATACCGACGTTCGGATGGCTCTGTAAGAGTGGGGAGGAGAGAGAGGGGTCACAGTTTCTCACTGTGCTTGTGTATTGATCTGACAGAACTTGCATCTAACTCTCTGAAGGAAGTTACGGTTTGTGGCTTTCTGCTAGGTAGTGGTATGAGACTGAGGAGACTGGAGGATGGTGATCTGGCCGGAAGCTTGAATTCCCTAGTTGACAAGGATCACAAATGCTGCCTACGAGGAAGAAGATGACGGTCGGCTTGGAATTTATGTGATCCGGATGATGATGTACTGCTGGTGCAAAACTTATTTCATGGGATTTTACTTGGGAGATAAGTCATCCCCAAAACTAGCCACGACGTGCTCCGTGAAGTGGATGCTATGGACACGTTCTAAAAACTTAGTCATGGGCAAGTTTGGGCCCGCACAATGCAAAATTACCTCATATAACTAAAGTATTTTTATTCGTCGTGTGCACCATCGTGCTACAGATAATCAACCCAGTCGAAGCAGATTCCGAACTAAAGAAAGTATTCTTAGGGGAAAGATTCATCAGACTGGCCGTCATCTACCATCTTCCATCTACCAGTCTACTCCCAACCTGAGCAAGATGTGTAGAATAGCCTCCATGTGAGCATGATCGAAAGGTTATATTTGGATTTGTGACCACCGTGTATTAAGAAAAACTGGCCATAATTCTAGTGCTTCTGGATGGTTTCCAGAGAAGGAAGCATGCGGCTGAATGCTGTACAGTCTGCACAATTTCCGAGCTAGCTACCACCTCAAATTGGTACAGTTCTAGAATAGCGAGATTACCTGAATAAACTGCTGCACGACTGGTTGCCTCTGCTGTGCTCCAGAGAGTGCGACAACATCTAGAATCTCGAACTTGGGTACTCTGCAAGTGTTTGACTGCAATTCCGTAGTTTCCATGCCCTGCATCACCTCGATCATCCCCCAACTGGCTGTAAGCATTTCGTGCTTCAATGCTCAAGGTCATAATCATGGCTGGTGACCCCAGGAAGGTGGCATATTCTTCACAACATGGCTTCGTGTAGATGCCCTTCACACGCAACCAGGGATTTGAGCAGCCAACTCACTCAGGATCTATTTTGGAAACTTTCAAAACAGCGCTGGCTAAACAACAGTTCTAACGTACTTTACCCCCCTCTCTAAAAAGCTCGATGGTACGCAACATGGACAAAATTCAACTGGGACTGAATCATTCAAACGCACAGGGAAACACAATACAATCTAACAACACGGCTTGTGATTTTGAAGCTGAGGGTGATGTGGAGGGAACTCATTGCAGAATGTGGGGCAGAATGTGGGGCCGAAGTAGACATTTGACAAGTTTGACAGTTTCCATGCGTAAATGTGTGGAGTCAAGCTCAGAGTGAAATGGTTTTTTTTAAGTAATCTAAATTCAAGAAACAAGTAAAAGAACATCCCACCATGAACTGGTTTCAGAATAAGTCGTATTCCCTCCTTAACATGAGGTTTCTCATGTATCGGTCTCCACACCTCCATTTCCGATGACAGCGCATGACTCATGTCCTCTGCAAAATGTACGTACATTCCTCTCTGAGCAACAGTGGGAGCATTACTAATATCACAGGAACAGAGTATCCGTTGAAGTATCTCAACAACGATGTCTCTGATGGCTCACGAACACTCGTTCTGAGGGACCAGGTTACCTTAACCGCATGTGTCTGGTACAGGTTTTCCTCAGATGATCTGCAAATCTATGATAGGAAAGTAATCTAGTGAAGGCACGCTTAGATTGATTCGTGAATGTTGAGTACTAGAGTGCGAAGGCGAAAACTGACGCCACTTTACAGGAACGGTATTCAGAACTATTGAGACTTAGTTTTATCCATCCCTAGTTGATTAGTTTAACTGGACCACAAGAATGAACTGTACAAAAGTTAAAATCTGCAAGGTAGTAGTGTATTTCATGTGGGATGTTCTTTTACTTGTTTCTTCAAGTAATCTAAATTCGTAATTTTTCTAGAGATAATCAACTTTTATAATTTTGTGACAGCCGGTTCGCGTCTGAAATACAAGATTGGACAGTATCATCGTACTTCTTCGCGTCATCTACCTGCAGTGCGCTTTTGAGCTAGATATGATAATGGGATTTACATAGAGAGGAAGGAACACGTTTGTCCAGCCAGGGTGTGATGGTCACTGAAATGAGCAACAATGGTCTCCATCGTTCACACAATGAATGTAGTGTCAGGGCGTTCCCTCTCGGAGTGGACACAGGCCTGGAACTCTGAGCAAACGTGCTCCAGCATGTGGACCTCGAAAAGGTATGCGATCAAAAAGACTTGCAGCGAGGATTTTCAAGGAGAGAATGTAATGCGGAATAATTCCACGTTCTATTCCTCTGAAACATGTGATATTAGTTCGTGTGTATGATCCGATGAGTTGGCCAATATGTTATGAAATGCTCTCGCACTAATTTTGTTGAGCAACCCAACAAAGAACATTCTGACGCTGGAAGTGAGAACACATGAAAAGAATGCTCCTACAGATAGACTTAAGAGCAGCTCACCATAAGCAATGGCTCTACTGAGTAGCTTCATGTGAACGTCCCTACTTCAAAGTGCTTGAAGGCTCAGTTTCCGACAGAGCACCAACCAGTGTCAATGACGAGATGCAACACTCAGAAGTACAGCTTCAAGTAGCCAAAAACATCTGTAATCTTGACTTGGAAATTGCATGTGAACAAAATTGCGAAGTACGTCATGGGAAACGTAACTCGTCCTCCTGACCTGGAAAATTTATTTTTTCTTTCTAAAGACATGAAAGTCCGTCGGCAATGTGTCAACACCACGCTTTTATCTGTCTAACTAAACGCAAGAGTGCACTACATCACGAAACTACGCTACGGTACAAACGAAGAACTTTGCTGAAGTTCAATTCGTATCGACGAATCAACAACTACAACCTCCATCTTTGCCGCCTTTGGCATGTACAGCACCAACGTCATTACAATGATGGAGAGATTTCGAAAGAGAAATTGATGGATCGAACTCACCTTGAGTTATTCGCAGGCTCTCAAGACGAATGCTCACAATTGCACGTTTTCTCCATTCTCAATGTCTTGCTTGCTTCCATTCTCGAAGCTGTGTACCTCACCATTGTCAATTAAATGCTTCTTTGTATCCTCAGAATTGGGCTTTTTCTCGTCAATCCCGGCGTTCACTTGCGTCCCTTCATCCTTAACCTCGGAATGTTTCACCCCATCCTCGGCATTCAATTGTTTCCCTTCATCCTCAAACTTGGAATCCTTCTGTTCCACATCGACATTGGATTGTTTCTCTTCACTACTGATCTCCGAGTGTTCATCCTCGTCCACAGTCTTAGCAAACGTCTTTTCTTCATCACCCTTGAAAGGATTTTCTTCTTCCTCTACCTTGGAGTACGTCTGCTCCTCGTCTACCTTGGAAGGCTTATCGTCCTCTTCTACCTTGGAATCATCTATCTCGGAGTGTTTCTCCTCCTCATCCACTATGGAAGGCTTCTCTGCCTCTTCTACCTTGGATTCATCTATCTTGGAATGCATCTCCTCTTCATCTACCTTGGAGTGTTTCTCTTCGTCCCCAACTTTGGAGTTCTTCTCTTCATCGTCGGTATGACGACTTTCTACATCCACAGTATTGGAATGCGTTTCTCCATGCACAGGAACATGCTTCTCTTCATCCTCAGTTTTTGAATGTTCCTCTTCAGTTCCAGTGGGTTGTATATCTAAATCCTCAACCTTGGAAAGATCCTCTTCGATATCAGCTACGAGCTTGTCCGCATCCCCGTCGTTGGGCTTCACATTATCCTCGCCGTTGGAATGTGGGATCTCCTTGGTATTGGTGATAACCTCTGTCTCATTGTCCAAATGGTCCGATCCTCTAACTGGATTCTCAACCACATCCACCGTCTTGGGTGGCACTGTCTCGCTATGTCCGGTTGGGTTCTCTTCCAGGACAGCCACAGACTGAGCGTCTTCATTCGGAGGACTTCGAGAGTCTACCTGGGATTTTGCTTCATCACCTGTGACCTTCTCAGGGTTTGATGGTGTCACAGCATTCGGCACCGGAGGACTGCTCAACACTGCTTCCAAAACCTTAGAGTCTACGGCTTTCATTTCAATCCCGGACTCGTGGTTGCCAAGGTGAGAGGATTCATCATCCCCTTTAACCACGCCATTTCTTACCACATCTTCACCCAAAACTGCTTCCACAGTCTTTGCATCTCCTTCTTTCGATTTCTCAGCTTTCGTTCCCCTCAACGCCGAAATCATCTTGCTCAGTAAACCTAAGCCAGCCAACGCAGCCACCCCCACAACTAATCCTTGCCGAGTACTGAGCTTCCGTTTCCTCCCAGCCCCCACTCTACGATCAGAGTCTGCGCCTTCCATTTTGCTTCAACCACAAATGCAAGAATATTCCAACAGGATAAGTTATAAGCAGACCTTTCAAGGAAGCTAAGCCCAGGGCCAAGCCATAGCATTCTGAAGAAGTTGGAAGTCGTTACAATTGGACACTCCAGTAAACATCGATGGCAGAGTTCATCTATTAAATTTTTTGCTCGCCGATTTATATAAACAAATACATAGAGAAAAAGAAAAAAGAAGAGAATGTGCACCACGTCTTCATACAAATTCCAAGAGCCACTTTGTTTTGGACTACTGTTTTATTTCTTGTATAACATATACACAGCAAAACTATCTTTCATTCCTTCTTGGCTTAAAAAAAAAAGAAAAAGAAAAAGAAAAAAGGCGGTCAAGTTTCGAGTCGGAAGGAGCTTTAGAAGTATTGTGCGGACTGCGGGTGATAGAACCAGTATATAATGGAAATGTCAATATTTCTGACGTGCTAAAACTCTAAAATTCAACTGTTCAGCACCTTGTGAGAGATAATAGTTTCCGCTCCACTTTGTCGTATAATCTTAAACCCCTAGCCATTGTTACCCATTTCAGAAGATCTACGAGGAAGTCAAGATAACAGCGAAACTCCCCCGCGACTCCAGGCTACTCTTCGCACACACTTCCAGCTTACACGAGAGGAGGAAACCAAGACAGAGTGTGCACGTATGGGAGAACCCTCTTAGCAGAACAAGTATACTGAGAAAGACCTCTATACACAGAAAACAAACATAGAGACAAACAAGCAAACAAAACAAAACAAAACAAAGAAAACCACGTGAAAATCAGGATTCAGCACTAGGCAAACTTTTTTCTACATTTCATAGAGGTTCATCCCCAACAAGCCCATTCTACAGAATGCAACACACAAATACCAGCCATGATCACCCAAACCGGCACAAAATTCTTTGCAAAATGTACCTGATAGAGCCGGGTTCGCGAACGCAAGCGTCGTGCACCGAAACTCAACGCAACTGGACTCACCCGAAGACTCTACCTCCTCTCAAGCCATACTCCGTGGTGGGTACGCAGTATGGCAACACAACTCAGAGGACGAATCTCACGGCAGTTGATCACAGTCGTTGGACAAAAATCTCCGCGTCCACCACCACCACCTGTGGTCTGCATCTCATGCTGCTGCTGCCCGACCCCAACAGCCGAAATTCCAACATCCTGTCGCCAGACGAAGGGTGAAAATCCCCAACCACCGTTAAAAACTTTTTCTGGGCACTCTTTGACTGGCCGTCATGGAGCAGTTTTTCTGAGACGATCGATCGGCCTTACGATCTTACCCGCAACGCAACTGGGCACGGTAACAAAAACAGAGTTTTGCTTGCTCAGTATCACGACGCAGATTGCAGCCAGTGTTTGACCATGAACACAAATCCACTCACTCTCCCTTCCCAAAATTAGCTCCCCCCCATTTCATGAACACACAAAAAGCGAAACCATTCCATTGTGAACTGTATCTTCTTCTGCATCGAGATATGATATCTAAGATTATATCGTCTGGCTCTGTGTGCTCGATCCCCTCATCCACAGAATGGCTGCTCACCCCTCATAGGGCCCTGCTCTGCCTCCCTCCTCGTCAAATTGCATTGATGGCTTTTGCAAACTGATTAGGTGGGTGCTTGGCAAAAAGCAAAATAAAATAAAATAAAAATAAAATAAAATGAAATTCAGTATCAACTTGTGTCAATGCTTGACCCTTTCTTTGCAAAAGCTTGACCGACATCACTCACGCTCATGGAAGTGGATCTATTGCTGGAAGTTTTAGGGTGCTCGGGTGAGCGCGACGGGCACGCGGACATTGTTCGGCGCATCGAACCTCCATTTTATTCTTCTTCCCCTCTTTTGCTGTTATTAAGATCTTTTTCGTGAAAAGGGCCAGATTTAGTGTTGTAAAGCCTTTGCGGTAATCCTGGAGATGATTTCACCTGCACTCACGAGAAGCATGAGTTTTTTTTTTTTTCTTTATTTTTTTTTTTTCCTTATTTCTTTATCTTCAGTTTTTTTATCCATTTTTTGCCCTTCTTCATCATCATCAGCTGCAAACATCACTTTTCCAAAACTGTTCTCTTTCTCAATCCTAATAACATATATTCATATAATAATTCAATATAGTTCAAAAAATTGTTGTCTGTATTGGTTGAGTATGAGAAGAGGATTTTTATCTCTGCTTGTTGCTCTCTAGCTTGAGGATAGTGGATGGGAGACATTATTCTTTCTTACATAATTATCTTTTTTTCATTTTAAATGATGGATATATATTAAAGAGACTCTTCAGTATGACAAGTGTGGCTCTCAATGCTGTTGTAGTCATGGATCAAAACTTCCATAGTAGCATTGGTTTTGATTTTTTTTTTCATGTATTTTTCTTAGTTAATCATATTTTATTGTTTTGAGATATTGTGTTTTTTTATTAATCCACTCATCTTCTTTGAGCACTAATTCAATCAATCACATTGAAAATTTTGGACTTTTTTAAATCTTTTGTTTCAATAAACATCTATTACAAACATTTATTATACTTTGTATTTGGTTGGAGACTTAATTCTTAGTAGTCTTGCAAGCATTTGATGTTGTTTTTCTTTTTAAGAAATGAAAGGGATAATTATGCTGTAATTTTTGGTGCTTCATTGGCACTACTAGTTGGTGGTAAATTTGAAGGTTGTGATTATTTGTCGGTTATGTATATTTTGAGCGAGGATCTATATTGTAAAGGAATCTTGGATGTTGCCTTGTTCTTATTAAGACTCTATCAATAAGTTACATCCAATATTTGAAGGTGAGTCTTCTTATATGTGTGTATATATATATATATATATATATACACACACACACTTTATATTAATAATGTTTTTGAAATTTGTATAGTAACATATAAAGCAAGAGGAAAATTTGAGCATAATAACAGTTATTTGTACAATGATAGATTTTAAATTTATTCTATTAAATAATAAAATTTGATTTCTAATGTACATTATGTTTAGATAGATGCTTTTACATAGGATAGTTGATTTAATGTTCTAGTAGATATTAGATCAAAGCAATGTAGTAGGCAAATGGGACAATTTTTTCTTTTAAAAATTAATAGTGAAACTAAATTAAGGTAGAAAAGATTGTTAAGGTTCACTGATTAAAAATTTTGAGAAATTTGTATTTTGTAGAGTTGAAACTTGAAAAAACATAAGTAATAAAACTAAATTTTATTATAAGTTTTTTTTTAAGACAGGAATACTTAATATGAAGGTAGAGATTTTTATTCTATTCTACTATGATGAAATTATGAATATCTTTATTCCAATATTTTATACTTTATTAAGCTTTGTAAAATTGTTAGCATTTAGGTTTTATATATATTTTAATAGCCTTGGTAAATTTTATTTAGTATTTATTGTTTAAAATATAGATAAGTAAGATGAATTGTTACTTAAAGCGTGAAAATGTTCAAAGAATAATTTTATAAATATACATAGGGAGTCCTTAAATTTCTAATTTGCTGAACTTTAGTAAATATAAGCAATAATCTCAAGGTGAAAGATATGGTTTTGCAGACATTGGCAATCCATTTAATGATAAATAATTTTTAATATTATTATTGATAAGAAATATTCATTTGGGTTTCAAATCAAAAAAAATTATTGTTCTACATTGAATTCAAACCGTTTTTAATTAGATATAACTATTATAGTGTTTTTTTTAATTTAAATATTATATATATATAGTAAGTTTTATAAGGTATTTCTATTAAATTCTTAATTAATTATATTTTTATATATAATGTTATTGTATTTTTTTGCTATGTTATTATTATTTATTATTATTAAAAGAAATAAATCTATAATTGATTTTAAATTGAAGAGAAATTTTATTCAAATGCAGTTAGAGGTATTTAATATAAAGATGACATCTAAAATTTTAGTAAACTTAAAGAAATTTTGTATGGCTATAGAAGCTTATAAATTTTGAGATGTATACAAAAGATTTAAGAATCTTGTAAAATATATATTATTAAAATTAAGTTTAAAATTATAAAACATACTAAATATATTTATAATACTTTAGAAACTTTTGGTTATAATCATATGTTAAGTATTAATGACAATTGGTCTCGACTACCACAAGAGGTTTCATTGGTGTTGATATTGATAATAGAAATGATTAGATTTCAGTTGTCTTTTAAAAACACTCTTGACTAACAAATATTTGTCATGTATATAATCAGTAATGCTTTTGTAGATTACAAGCACAATATACGGTTTTTAATTAGATGGTGTATTTTAAGATATTATATAAGAACTATATATTTATTTTACAATTTAAAGATAGTAGGAAGTATGTCAGAAAATTATTGATAGTAAATAAAATATTTGGAACACATATTTATTAGACAATATGCAATACTTTAATATTTAGGACATCTACAATCCGGAAATAATGGTGTTTGAATTTAAAATATGTCCATGATTTGCTACTATAATTGCAGTAGAAACTCTTAGAATGTTACTTATTTAAGTTTCTAAGAATAAGTTTTTTAGACATAAGAATTTTACAGAAATAAGAAAAACAAACTATAAATGCAATCGTAACTAAAAAATAATTGATAAAATTTCAATAAGAATAAAATACATAATACATCAGTGTTGTATGTAATAGATGGAGCATGTGAAAAAGAAAAAGAAACAAACACAACCAAAAAAACAAACAAATTGTGTAAATATATCTATATATATATATATATATATATATACATATTTATAGACTTAAAAGTATTTTGAGGACTAATAAAAAATATAATTAATGGATGATTTTTTTTTTCTTAGTACTATAGTAAAAAAAACTCAAACATATAATATTTGTATGATAAGTGAATTTAAAGATAGTTGAGATGTTCTATTTTATTTAAATATGCAACAAAAATATTAATTTTTATATTAATAATCAAAATTGTGCTTTTATTCATGCAATGGAATAAGGTTTTAAAAAAATTATAAAATATGTATATATATATATATATATCTATATATCAAATAAAAGGAAAATTTATGTGGAAAAAAATAAAACAATATCTGTTTATAATTTTTATATAGCAGAAATTACCGAAGTGGTTTGATTGGCACTAACCTTCTTGTAATTGCAATATGTAATATTTTAACATAAAAAAGAACTATAGCCTAAATATTAACTCAAGTAAGGATACAAAATCTTTAATTAAAAATACGATTTTCAAATATATGCTCTTGTAACTATATTTTAATAATAAAATTTATTAGATTCATAAAAAAGTTAAAAACCTGACTTAAAAAAAATATTGGAAATATCTTAATATAGTTTCAAGATTTGCAATTGTTTTTAATACACATATTTAGGTTTATTACTTTTATTTTAAAATTAATATTATTCTTATTATAAAAAAAACATCAGATGTGATATCCTTTTAGATATCCAAGAAAAATTTCTTAGAAAAAAAATATTATATATATATATATATATATATATATATACATATATATATATATATATATATATTAATAATAATTAAAAAATTAAAGTTAAAATAAATTGTAAATATAAAATAATTGTTATTTGATTTCAAAACGTACTAATTTTTCTAACATAATTAAATTTTCAAATTTTCAAATTAATCTCTACAATATAAAATATAATTAATTGATATTTTTTAAAAGAAAAGAAAATCAAAGTAAAAAAAAATACCATTATGAATTTTCTACTTTTTGATTTATTTTTTGAGTATTATTATTATTATTATTATTATTATTATTTATAAACTAATAAGTTTTCACTATTTCTTTCTATAAAAGTTATATATTGTTTAAATTTATGATATATATATATATATATATATATATATATATATATATATATAAGTAAACATTACTTTGAAAAAATTATTTTTATAATTTGCATCAATGATTTTAAAGTGTTCAAGTTTTAAAAAACTATGAAAGTAATGATGAGAATATAATAAAAGGAAATAATTATTTTTAATTTTTATTAATTTTTTTTTGAATATCTAGTTTACACATTTCAATAAGTTTATTCTAACACAAAGTATACAATAAGTCGAATGCATTTACTATTATTATCATTACTATTTTATTTTAAAAAAAAAACTTCCCTACCAAGTCATCTTAAGTAATTTAATTCTTATAATTTTTACTCAAAGCTATTAAAATTGGACGAGAAATTGAAGGAATATTAAAAAATTAATTGTTCTAAAAATCAAAAAATATAATAAACATGATACAATGGTAAAGATGATTTACTAGTTAAAATTTTTATTTTTATAGAGATGAGTTTATAATAGATAAGGTAGATGATGGGAATTTATATTATTAATGTTATACTACTATTATGGATTCAAATGAAATAACTCTATTAGAATTAAAACAAAAAGTTAAATATCTTATCATGTTGATGAAAGTAGTTGCTTTAAATTAAGGATTTTAGTATATATTTTGCATAGTTTCTATGAGGTTTATTGAAAAACGTTTTTAGTAAGAGAATATAAGTAAAAAAAATCTTTAAATTTATATCTACAGAACAATATTTTAAAGATTACAATGGAATAGATCTCCACTTAAAGTTTCACTAAATATCAACAATCCTAAAAATAAATTATCGAAAAATACTATAAAAAAACTTTGTGTACTAGAATTTCTTCATTCAACATATATATTATGTTCTTGATGTAAATATTCAAATTATTATAATAATTATTATTTAAAATCTGATTCTTACCATTATTATATTCAAACTACCTTCTAAATTGTAAATCTTGAAATTCTGATAAGTTGATACATCCTTGAAACCAATTGAAAAGACCATAAAACCCAACAATCACTCACCTCAAATTTGATTATATTGCTATAATTTTACACAATTTTGCTTTCATGTGAATGTTTTCTTCTTCACATTGAGTATCTACATAACTATAATCCAAATACAATACATTTTTATATATTTTTCAAAATATTTTATCATCTTTGAGACATTTTTTATAAAATTCCTTACAATCAATCTAAGTTGCACTGTTTTTGCACTCCTCCACAATTTTTGGTACCCAAAGCAGCGAAGCAAAAACCAAAGAACAGCCTCTCAGGAGCTTCACAACCAAAAAGAAAAATAAAACTCGTGAACGAATGAAATTCTAAACGGATGAAAAAATGAATGAATTACTCGCGTAAATGGATGGACATATAGATGGATGAATAAGTGGATGAATGCGTATAGTGGATGATGGATGGATCTTCTTGGGGCGGCGACAACGAGGAGGGTAAGGGAGCTGCTACCGTCGTTGCTTGCGCTTGGAGCTGGACCTGGCAGCAGGAGGAGGAGGGGGAGCACGAGGAGTCGCAATGTGGACTCCTCCTCCGCCATGGCGATGGCCCTGCGCCCAATGCATGTGGCGCTGCTTCCAATCGATCTGGGGGTTGTGCTTCTCCAGCCACGACAAGCCAAGCACGACGGTGTACGAGGATTTGATCACATTGAAGCTCACCAGACTCCGGTGCCCATCCCCAAGCACCACCTCCACGGGATGTGTCTCGTGCGTGACCATGCCCGACGAGATGTGGCTGCCGTCGGCGATCTCCACGTTCGCTGGGGTCAACTTCGTCACCACCGGCAGACCCAGCTCCTTCACTGCCTTCTGATCGATGAAGCACGACGACGCTCCCGAGTCCAGCAGCGCGACCATGTGATGCTTCCGATGGTCGCACCCTATGGTCACTGGGATCGCGAACGGCCTCACGGCGGTTGAGGTCACCATGCTCAGATTCAGCTTCGTCTTCGCTGTGGCCTGCCGCGTTGTGGGGCCTCGTTCCTCACTGCCCTGGCAACAATCTAGTCCTAGTTTTTCTGGGTCCATGCCACTATGCGCATGTATTTCGAAACTGTAGTAAGGCTACCAATTCGCTGCACTGTGCAGCTCGGGTCTGCAAAATCCAAAGCGTGACTGAGCTAGACTCCGTGGATACTTTCGGTTCCTCCAACTGGTTTTTCTAGGAATTTATTATCATACAATTAACACTTAACCCCCTAGCGAAATCCTGCTTTTTCCCTGTATTTTTATTTCAAGACTGTAACGTAATGAACACTACCTGACTTGCAGATTTTGACAAATGGACGATGACACAAGTAAAGGAACGCCCTCTGAATACTAGAATATATTGCTCCCAGTTGTGTCGAAGCCATCGTTCAGACCCACATGTAGGAATCGTGAAAAACCATGCCATGCAGTCTGATATGTTTTCCAGGTGCCTCTGAATGGGAACCTATACACGTCCTAGATTGTTAATGTAAACGGTCCTTTTTCATTTCGATCTATTTTTGGAAAGATAAATATCTAATATTGGAAATCATTTTGGGATATTCTTTTTCCCAAAGGAAAAGAGATGGTATTGGTCACGATATGTATATATATATATATATATATATAAATATAAATATTGTTTGTTTGTCTGTTTGTTTTTCCTCCTGTCGTGCAGGGTTCAGCTTTACAAAGTGTTTGTTAAATTTGTTATACAAAAGAATTGTAAGTTTGACTTGTGATTTTGAAAAAGGTTGTACTATCACTATATCTATCTTCTCAATCATTAAGAATAATAAATGATGTACATTGTTTTGGATGAAAATTACATTTAATTTTTGCAACTATTCTTTCTTGTTAAAATTTACATCTTAATTTTTTTGTATATAATAATAATAATACTTTTTCATTTTAATATTTTGCAGCAGTTTGCTATTAAGTTGTTTTTTGTATTTTATATAGAATATAATTGAAAAAATATATAATAATTAAAATTTTATAGTAATATATACATAAATATATTTTTATTTATTTTTATTTAGATAAGAAAGCAACAAATTCAACTCTAGTGTACCAATGAAATTTATGTAATTGTAAGATAAGACAAATAAATACATTTTAGTAAATTTTTTTGAAGCTTTTTTCTTCTTTCTTCTATTATAAGATTGTTTTGTAATGTCTTTTTATGTGCATAGAAATGTGCTAGCTTTTTTAAAAAAATCATCATTATCATAAACATTTGTAACAGATTGGTAATTTGTAATATTTTTAGTCGTCTTATTTTAACTTTAGCTATTTAACTTTTTCCATTTAATTTATCTTTCTAGGATCCTTTTTAATTTTTTTTTTGATAGTTTCTTGTTATATTTAAATACATAGATAATTGATATAAATAATTTCAAATTTTTCTACAAAGATAATATCATTGAAATTAGCCATTCAAACCACTGGTTTAAGTGGCACGTACCTGATATTATAAAACCCATTTATTATTAAACCATCAAATGAGAACACAAATCACATGATTTCCTAGAAGAGTCACAGCCTCATGGACAACATCTGTGCCTTAACCAATCATATTAAAACCATAGTAAATTTAAACAATGAAATGTGACATTATTTACAACAATAAAGTTTTGTAGCCCTTGCGGTCCTAGTCCATGAAGCCCAGTCCGTGCCAAGCTCGAAGTTTTTCAGAGGCTGCTCAGTTGTGATTAGTGCTCGTTGTCGCTGAAGTTGCCAGCTCCGAGCATCTTCGTTAGATTTCATGAAGTGGAGTCTGAGGGAGAGTTCGCTTGTTGATGAATTTGTCAGCTGAGCTATGGCAGAACATCACACCCATGTCGATGCAAGGAGGTTTTTTTTTGCTTCAATGGGCTTACTGGGTCCTTCACTGTTGTCGAGTTTTTAGGTTTGTCACCGATATTGAGTTGCTTCATGAGGAATGGATTTGTGGGGGGGGCAAGCTTCTGTATATGGAAGCCATGAACTTGTCGTTGTAATCCGTAAACCCCAAATCTGTAGAAGACGAGGTGAGGAAGTAATCAAGAGAGGGGGATGTGGCAGTGTGGGATGAACAGGCTTCCGCTTTCCAATGGAGTCTTGTTCACTTGTCACGGATTTCTTGACTGGATGCATTCTTGGAACGCCGTCCAGGTTGTCTTTTGCCAACAATGCTTCTAGATCTGAATATCTGACTGCTTTTTTTTTATGTTTCGGCAGTTGTTTCCACGTTGTCTTGGTTTTCACAAGTGGAGGTGGTGAATGATCGTATTGTTCTTAAAAGCAGAGCTTGGTTGTGGATGCTGTAGGTTGTACAAAAGAGGTTTTAGACGAATATTGGAGAGTGGACATGGGTAGACCCTATCTGGGTTGTAGTTCACGCTTTGATCAACAAACACTCGAAAAATAGAATGCAGGAGACGCCGAATTGTTTTAAAAGGTATGGCGCATTATTTTACCAGGCTTCTCCATCAGGAGCCCTTAGGTGACATGACTTTGGAGATTAAACTTCCTTTGCTCGTTCATTGATTAAGTTATGCTGAGCAGGTTGTTTTGCTTTCAATTGTGCAATTTACTATGATTAAAAACGGTTTGTTTCGAGTCATCGCTCTGGAACGTACATGTTGCTTTGTTTGTTGCCGGCGCTTGAACGATTTGAAGCAGATTTTGAGCAGGCACAGAGTATTTTCACTGGAAAAGAACCAGGAAACAAGTGAAAGCAACATTCAAGCACGAAGTGTAGGTGAATTAGATACGCCCAGCTGATGGTCTTGGCCACAAAACATAAGGTCTCTGATGATACTCAAATCTTACAAGGTGTCACTGTGTTTTTTGGAAGTACAGTCATGTAGTACATAATGCTACTAGTCATGTAGCTGGGCCCTTGCAATCTCAACACTATCGAGACATCATTGAAAGCACAAAAGGATGATGATGAAGAAAATAGGTTGGCACTCTATTAGTAAATGCTGAAAAAGATGAAATAACCAACAATCAGGTCAGTTTTTTTCCTGGAAAAGTTTGAGAGGAGATTTTGTGAAGCCCCTGTAGACTTGTCGAAAGTTGTGACGAAATGCTTAATGCTAATGTGCAAGGTGCTGCTGCAGAGGGTTGGAACACAAGTCGTAACCGAGAACTTCTACGAACTATGAACTCCATGTGAACACGATTGTTTTTGATCAGGTGGACATAGCGGGAGAACTGAATCTGCATCTAGAACCGTTGTTTCTATTCGTCAGTCGAGAGAATCATCATCAGTCAATTGACGGTTAAATTGCCTCGGGAAGTATTGAATGGGTAGTGCCGATGAACAACGACCAGGTCTGAAGTGTGAAGTTTGGCTGTCTCAAACAAGTTTTCTGTGGGGCAAACAGTTTGAAAGAAAAATTGTCTTGTAATTGCGCATTCGAGGGGCTTATCCGTGATCAGTGACAGTGAGCTTCAAGGGCTTCATCAAAGGTGGCTAGGCTCTGAGATGGACTAGTTGGAGAGGAGGATGTCAAAAACTCCATATTTCATTCTTATCATGTCAAAGCTTCACCATCGCCTTCAGCAATCTCTTAATTAGCAATTCGAAGATATCTCTTTCTCACTAAGATGCGGGTGTGTATCAATAGGTCAACTAGTCTGATCAAACCATTCTATGCTTCATGACCAAGAATCTCAGATAATTTTGTTCAACTTGGAAATAAGAGTACGAGATTCAAAAGTGAGAGCTCATAAGATGATTCTGTTAATTCAAAAAAATAAAATAAAAAATCATAAACAACCTCATACTTAGATTCGTCTTCTCTTTTTCTGGATAAACTACTGCTGATCGATTCGTCTATACAGAATTCTTTGGCAATGAACGTTCCGATCAACTTCTCATGCACACTCAAGGTCACAAGCTTCGTAAACTTCATAGAATTGCTTGTGCCCATCGCTTCATGGTTTCCATTTCAGCGAACTTATTTGATGCGTTTAACACACACATAAAATAGGCTAACAAATAATTTTCCATTTTAAAACCTACAGCTATCATGCCAAACCCACGAAGCTGTTTGGTACATTCTGGTAGCTTGTCATGTCAAGCATCTGACTCAGCTGATTGCAGGTTTCCTTCTCAACCAAGGATTGTATCGCTGGCACTGCTGCTTGTATGAGAACTTAAAAAAACATTCTGGTGCCTAAAAATATATTTGAGTGTTAACCTGAATTAGTTTTTTTGTAGGTTTGCCTGAACATCTGGGCCTTCTTGACTATTATCTGGGCACTGTACCTGCATCCACCTTAGAAACGAGGCAGCTTTTCTGCAGAAAAAGCGATGAGGTTGTTGACATGGATAATTTGATCAAACTCTGAATGCCCACGGATGTTGGCGAAAGAGCTCTAGGAGATCTTTACATCTGAAAGCTAGAGAAGGAACTCACAGGTCATTTTCTGGACCAGTGTTTTGAAAGCTTATCTTCCTGTTCCAACCAATCGTACAGACTCTGGGCTTGTGCAGCCCCAGTTTCGCAAAAAATTAGGCACAGCTCATTTCCTTGCGATCTACACTTCCTTAAAGCCATGGTTGCAACTTGTGAGGGAATGAGCTCACGGACGCAAACAATATTTCAAGCAGTGGACCTGTTTGTTGTACTCTCACATCAGGTTTGCCAATGTTGACATCTCTTTCCTTCAGCTTGGACAACTAAAATAGCATTCGCTGACGCACCCTACGACCATTACTTGTACCGAATTGACATTTGTTCAAGATGCCATGTGTTTCGTGAGTTTGAAGGAAGGTGATAACTTGCATTGCAGACTAAATCGTGGACGAGGTTTAAAGACTAAGCCCTTGATTGACTGCTGCTTAAACAGACCAAGTCGAAGCTTACAAAGTGAACTGCCTCAACTAATTACTGAGCTTTCTTCTTATCCAGGAATTAGTAAACTATGAATGAAGAGGTAAAGCCATTAGTATTGAGTGAATATACTTATATATATATATATATATACACACACACACAAACACACATTTATATATACACAAAAAAAGCTTTGTAAGTGTGACATTTGACTGTCCTCTGCAAAAGTAGTCAACATCCCACTGTAACCTCCTTTAAGTCCAATTGACACGGAACATATGAGTCGTCCTTTGTAGTTACATGATGATATCTACGATGTGGATTAATGTCATATAAAGCAAAGCTAAGACCAATGACAGAGATGGAGCTTCATCATTGGTAGTAAATGAACACAGAGCGTAAGGACTCACTGGATATCAATGTCTTTCCCACCAAGTCATCTATCTCCTCTCCATTCTCCACCCTGATTGAACCTTAAGACATAATTGTTTTGCTTTAAGGTTCAGAATGAGCACCGCACGGATAACTTGCTTGGAAAAGTATGCTTTTAGCCTAGGCACATGGAACTCAAGCGCTGCGCAACGAGAAAGTGAAAAAGGAAGGACTCTGGTCCCTATTTCCCCTTTTGAACCTTTCGGGATTGCACATACTAGTAACATGGGCAGAAAAATCCTTCAGTTCTTTTTTATTTTTGTTTTTGTTTTGTTTTGTTTTTTTTTTTTTTTTAACTTTGAAAGAGAAATTCACGCAACTCTGATTCAACCCTGCAAGTCAATAGTGCAAAAGCAGGGGAAATCACCAACAAAACGAAACGAATGAGGATCCACCTTCAAGGTTCGGTTTCCATCTGCACGACAAGAAAATTCAGCACAGTGTTCAGCGACTGCCATTCTAAGCCAGGGAAAACATTGATTTAAGGCCCCTTGGTCGGTTACATGCCAGGGGGAAGCATCACACACAACTCAAACACGATCGAAAGCCATCAGGCAACGAGTGCAACTGAAAGTTTTCCCCATCCCCTTCCCAAGGGGACGTTCGAAACGGCTTCCGCAGAAGCTGGCATTCAAGTGCATGCTTCAATAAAGAAAAAGCCCATGCGAGAGGGAGGAGCAGACGTGCTTGACTGAAATGCAATTACCGATCGATATTGAAGTCAGCGCGGATCACAAGTCAACTGCGGTGATCCAAGCACTGAAAAAAAGCCATCTCCACCACCGCAACGAAGGTTTTACACACAAATCTCCAGAACCATGATCTCGAAGCTCAACAACACCACCGTAAGAAAGTCAGCTTTACAAGTAAAACACAAAAATAAACACAACTGCAGAGTACAGTAAGGCTGCATCCCTGCATGACCCAGCTACTGAAATTCCCTCAGCATGTGAATGTAGCCCCATTTAGTTGACCGGCGACTATGGCCAGCAACGTGAAGATTGAACGGTTCTTCGGTGACGCTCCATCGCCCACAGCAACGCTTTTAGGTTTCGGTCCACTTGTAAGGATGGATGAACAGTGTTGTCGATGAATGAATTGGTACGTTGGGCATTGGATGATTTCTGTTCCACAATCGTAGAGGTTGTTTCCCTTAAGGACAAAAATCATATCCAACAAATAAATCATTATATAATCCTACCATGTCATGACCATTTTTTTATTTTTATTTTTCAACTCTTATTTTAATTGATTGCTCACATTCCTAGCAAAAGACTCTCTTCATATAACACTTGTACAATATACTGGAGATCCTTCTATGTATTTAATTTCTGTAAATTTCGAAAGTAAAAAACCAAACCCAAGAATAGGTTTTAAGTTTATATTTGTGGAACTGAGCTAATTTTAACCTTAGTTTAACAGCCATGTTATTTTCAGCACTTAACACTAATCTCCATATCTTGTGTGTAAAGTTTACTTGTTTCTTCGTGGAATTAGGGCTTCATTCACTGTGAGGTCTCCACACTAATGGCAAGGAGGTCCTCCATCTCACCCTCCTTCCATTGATCCCAGTTTTGTACAAAGCAAGGCAAAGCCAAGCAAAAGATATGCAAAGGGGTAGTAACTTATTTGTCTTCTTTGTCTTCTACTTCTCCAATTGTCCTGAACTTTAGATACATATCAACAACACATGGAAAAAGGATAAAGCTTCTTTTTGGCCCCACTAGAAAACACTTCTAAACATGGGCTTTTGAGCCTCATCTCCCTTGATGGGTACCATTGTCCTCCCTCCATCCATGTCTCACTTTACCTTTTGGTGGTTACTATGGAATAACCTCAAAATTCCTAAATTAAACCATTAAATAAATAGTAATAATAATAATAATAATAATAACAAAGTTTGCAAATAGAGAGTGCACATTGCTATTTTATTGACTCAAATACCTTTTTTTTCTAGCTTTTTGTGTAATCAACTTGGTAGAAATCATGTTATTAGTGCTTGGTCAAGTGTATGCATATTATTTAGCTTTGTAATTCGTGTGAATTTCTTCTTTTGTATACTCACTGCAAGCTTTATTTGAAAAAATAAGTAAAAAATAAAAAATAAAAAATCCAAATGATTCTCTTAACATGCCTTTCATGACACATCTCCTCAACTGTAAAAGTAGCCATTACTCTTTGTGAATCCAACTCCCAATGGCCTACTTAAATTTTGTCAACCCTACAGCTTAGACATGCATCAAAGGTCAAAAAAAAAATGAAGATAAAAATAAATTATAAAAAGAAGAAAGTAAAATGATACAGTGATTGTGACCATTTTTTCTTTATTTTTGTAATTTTTTGTATTTTTTTTTGTATTTTTTGAAATATTCTTCTTGATGACTTAGTCTTTTTCCAACAAAACTCATCTCTCACAACTTGCTCACATAAAGTACATATTCTGCTGTAGAACATACACCACTTGTTCATGAACAGTTATGGTTCTCAACTTTGATGGATTTCTAAAATAGATTGATCAATGACTGAGTTTAAAGCTTTCTTTCAATTTACAATTGATCCCAATTGTCCACGACTCTCAGAAAATGAATGTAAGTTTTTTCCTATTAAAAAAAGGGCCACAAAATGCATGTGAGACCCATTCCTTAGGGTAAAAGTAGGAGGCATTGGTCCCTTTATCCATATCAATTGTGTTTAGAATGTGGGAACTTGTCCTCCCTAACCAAGTATGCTTGTGGGGTTCAGTTGTGGAACACATAAACATTTGATATGTATGTGGGGACATGTTCCACTTTGGTAGCTTTGGAAGGTTCTAGACCCAAAATCTAGAAGAACATGAAGAAGTGTAGACATCGAGGGTGAGGACCCACAAACTGTCCAAATCCCTCAGCCTATTGATTATAACCCTCCAGTAAATTTAAAATATTTTTGTTCCTTCAAGGAACCAGTCTCACCATAAATTTTTTCTTCAAATCATATATTATACATAAACCAGAGTGTTTTCTTGTGTGTTGTTTGTTATGGTCAATGTAGAAGTAGATCTGTTAATGTGATTCTGAATCTGTGAGCTAAACCCACTTGTACATGTCCATGCTTCTATTGGTTGGTTGATTGATTGATTGGTTGGCTGTCAAGATAAACTGGCTCTGTGTGTGGATTGTGAACTCTTGTGTAGTGTGGGTAGTTGTCATTGCAATGATCCACTACAAAAAGAATGATTCTTGAGGAATAAAACAAGTACACACACATATATATATATATATATATATATATATTATAATATTATATGTTTGCGTGTGTTTGAAAGTAATGAAGGAGATATGGATTTAATGTGGGTGCAGAGTCATGCATGAGAAACAAGCAATGAGGTTGAGGCATCAAAGTTGAATAAATAAAACTAACAATAAAAACAAAAACAAAAAACAGAAGAAGAAAAGAACAGGAAATCAACTCATGTTGGTACCGAATTATTAATCAACATATACCTGGAAATTGCCAATTAAACTCACTCCACAGATTTTAACAAACTTCCCAAACAGCAAAGAGAAATGGATATCAAAAAACACAAGTTGCTTCAAGTGCTCAAATGATAATAGTAATTAAAAAAGGAAATAAAAATTTACTAAAAAAGTGCAAAAATTCCCAACTGGAGGAGATGAGATTTCAAATGTCCCCCAAAAAAATATATGAGAGGAATGTCTTCGCGGACAATTCCCACCCTGGAGGCGAAGCTGATCTACCAAGGCAACGAACGAACAAACGAACGAACGAACGAACGAACAAAGTGATGGACGAACGAAGAAGGAACGAAGGGCGACAGAAGGAGTTGATGTCGAGCTCCGTCGTGGGTACAAACGAGCGGTACTAGCGGAGCGCAGGCGGAGGCCGAGAAGGGAGAGAGGGTGTGTTTTCTGGAGGAGGAAGCGGAAAATCCTCATTGTGGAGGGAGAGAAAAAGTGGGCCACCACGAGGCGTGGCGGCTCACGGTTAGCAATTTCCCCGTCTTCTGTGCAATGCTCTAACCGTAGCCAACGTTATTTTATCTGAACATTTTTGGGTTTGGGAAGGGTTGGGTTAGTTTCGTCGCCTGTGCCATGTCCGTCACTCTTCTCACTCTTTTGCCGCATTCCCGTTCCACTTCGTATCGTCACCAGGGTGCCTGCCCTCCCTTTGCTTTATCACAGTGCTCCTGCGCGCCTTCTCGGCTCACTCTCACTTGCGAAAGCAAGCGAGTGACTGGGGAGAGTATGAGCGAGAACGAGATTTTTGTGGGTTCTGGCTACTTGGTTGCATCTGGGCATGTGAGTATGATGGTGGCTCTGAGTGAACCCCTTAGTGAATTTGGAGTGAGGTTGTTGTAGTTGGAGTCGTGTTTTGAGGAGGAATTTTGAGTTCGCGAGGAATTTGGTTGGGGTAGTATGGGTTTCTTGACAGAGGGAGTTATTGAGATGAAGGTTGGTGTATCGATTTTAATGGGTTTGGTTCGAGTGAGAGAGAGAGAGAGAGAGGAGGTGAGTGGTTTGGGGTCTAGGGGTCTAGGGTTGTGGTATGAGGATGCCGGCCTTGTGTTCGGAACTAAAGTTGTGATGCGTGGGGGTTGTGCTGTGAAGGTTTCGTCTTGTGAGTGTTGGGAGTTTCGGGAGCTCTATTCGTCGGCTCTGGGAAGTGGTGAGGTAACCCGCGGAATGGATTCATGGCATGAAGCACTTTTTCTGTAGAGAAACGAGCGATGTGATGGGTCTGTGCGATTAGCAAGAGACTTGGTTGAGAGTCACCTCCATGCTAATGCACTAGTTCCGAGTGCACCACATCTTACCGGTGCTTCTTTTGAAAATGCTCAGAATTAGTCTACTTGTTCGTCATTAGCTTTTTAAGGTGTAGTTTTCGTTGGGGGGGGGGGATCTGATATTTCACTTCATTGTAATACCTGAGAATGTGCTGAAATTTTCAAGCGTAATTAGCCTTGTCGTGGAATGTGGATGTTAGCGTAATTAACAATGCACCCGATAATCTCACCACTGTTACATAATTTCGGGTGTTGGATACTCGAATTGGCAATCCGCTAAAAATCTTTGGTTTGAGATGATGTATGTGGAAGTCATAATAGAGCTGTGATAGGTTGCTCATATTCATGATGACATCAAGAAAATCGAGATTAAGAGTCATTAATCGATACCTGTAGCTTTAAAACAGTCCAAAGTTGAGATAGAATTTGGAACGGTTTCCCAAAACTTCGGACCTCGTCTATTCCCTGTGGCTCAGGGAGGTGGGAGCTCGTTTTTGTCACAGTTCAGTTGATGCTCTCAAGATTATATTTAGATTATTGTTGCGTTGTCTCTCTGGCTTGCTGGGAACGAGCATAGACATCACGATTCCGTGCTTGGTGTTTATAGGGTTCTCATCACGCGGACGTGAAATAACTAGTTGTCTAGAGTTTACAGTAAATGTAACCTCATTTAGTCTTTTCATGTCGCGAATACTTGGGTCGCGAGCAGTAATACTGGCGAGATTTTTTATGCTATTTTCACATGGGGTATCGTGAGTGTTGACCTCGGGTTTCGAACACCTACTAGTTTTCTCATCTGATACATCCGATTCCAGTTTATTCGCTGTGTGTTCTATTTAATCATACGAATCCTTGGCATATTCCTTTCAGTAAACTGGATAGCGCTGAGATGATTCTGTTTGCGAGTGCAACAATTTGGGCTTTGTGGATCGGTGATTGTGTTTTTGGTTGGTTTTACGTAGCCCCGGAACCAGCAGTCGAAGCTCCTTATCATTCGCTAGATGAAACGTTAACAATCTTTCGGCTTTGTTGTTGAGTGTGTATCGACAATTGTTGCATCCTGTAACGTAATTGTGGAAATAATGTTAAGGACGGAAAGAAGCTGAGTTTTGATATTGCTGTATTCCGCAACGCTTTCTTTACATCAGATATTTTTTGTAACTAATTTCGAAAGATGTTCTATTGACTACCTTTTCTAAACTTTAATGTTACTTTTCGAATCATTTGTCGGATACCTGCTCAATTGCTGATGTTCCACGTCAGCCCACTGGAAACTTTTTTCTTATTGAATTTTGGAGGACTTGGTGGAAGTGCAGACGCTCGCTTGTATGGTTGTATGAGTCTGCCGTCATGAACACCTTTTGTTTTCAAATTTCTTAGCTGAATCTTGCTCCTCTCTGGAAGGATTGTTTGCTAAAATTGAAACTGACCGTCACCCGCCCTTTGACGTACAGGTCTGTAGCTGAGATTGGACCTCTATTGACTGCCAGTTGCTTCTTGGGTGGATCGAATTACGGAGTGCCTGAACCAAAGACATTATTTGCGGACTTATAGTCTGGTTAGGAAACACAGCCAAGTGCTATGTGGCTGTGCAAGGGAATTTATGAGTAGAATTGTTTTTAAGAGGTGATTGATGGGAGAGGCAATGGGTGTTTCCAGCGATGGAGGCTAGAGGTGAGCCATTTGATTCAGGTCCTGAAATAGAATTGACGAATAAGTGACCTGGAGAGTTCATTAGGGTATGAACAGAATGAGCTACTAAGTTCCTGCAATGGGGGAGATGTGAGGGATGTTTGACTGGTTTGTGAAAATGGTGATGGCATGCTGGCGTCCTGTAAAGAGATACAGAAAGAGGCAGGATGGGACAGATCGTCAAGATCCATTGCTTTGGAGCAAGGATCTTTGTCCCCATGCCGTAGGGGAATTTTCATATGCAGTAGTTCAAGCCAATGCAATTTTGGAAGACATGAGCCAAGTTGAGTCCGGTTCTTTCGGCACATTTGTGGGTATCTATGATGGGCATGGAGGCCCTGAAGCTTCTCGTTGCATAAATGAATCTTTATTCAGTTTTGTACAGAAAAATACTGCGGACCAAGGAGGTATGTCATGCGACGTCCTCTGTAAAGCTTTCAAGGAGGTAGAGGACAAGTTCTTCGAGATAGTTCGGAAAGCTTGGGATGTTAAGCCGCAAATTGCCGCTGTTGGATCTTGTTGTTTGGTGGGAGCCATATGGGATTCCAAACTTTACGTCGCTAGTCTTGGAGATTCTCGAGCAGTTTTAGGTAGTTTTTCCCGAGATACTTCCCTTCCAGTGGCCAGGCAAATCTCGACGGAGCACAATGCAAGTATCGAGGCAATCCGGGAAGAGTTATTTGCGAAGCATGAAGATGATCCACAGATCGTGGTGCTGAAACACGGGGTGTGGCGTGTGAAAGGCATAATTCAAATTTCACGTTCAATTGGTGATTTTTACTTGAAGAGAGCTGAATTCAATCGGCCACCTCTCATAGCCCGGTTCCGGCTTCCAGAGCCTCTCAAAAGGCCTGTGATAAGCGCAGAGCCGGAGTGCAATGTCATCACACTAGGTCCTGATGACGAGTTCGTTATTTTTGCATCCGATGGCCTTTGGGAGCATTTGAGTAGCAAAGAGGCTGTCGACATTGTGTATAGTCAACCTCGGGCTGGAATTGCCAGGCGTTTGATCAAAGCTGCTCTGCAAAAGGCTGCTACTAAGCGTGAAATGCGATACTCTGATCTGAAGGGAATTGAGCGCGGGATACGACGACATTTTCATGATGATATTACTGTCGTGGTTCTCTATTTGGACACTAAGCTGCTCAACAAAGGTGGTAGCATTTCTAATCATGTTTCTGTGAAATGTGCAAATGACATGCCTAAAGGTGATAACCCCAGCCGTTAGCCAGCTCTAACGTAGACTTAGCTAGGCCCCGCTGAAGTGTCTTTATCAGGTTTTGCAAGTGCAACGCAATCAGCATTGTTACGAGGGGAAGGTCAGAAGACTGCATATTATTGGATTGGTCTCACAGAACTGCGCTGGGACCTTCAAAGAGCCATCATGCTATCCTTGAGTATTCACTGTGTTGAAATGGTAGACCCCAGTTGGGGAAATGGAGCGGCCCTGAACTATCGATATTATCATATCTCCTGGAATCATGTTAGTCTCTGCAGGTTCTAACAATTAAATGGTAAGGCTTAATTGATTTCCTTCTAAGCTGCTGAAGCGAACGGAATCAGAAGATGCGCGAGATGAATAGACAATGTTGGCTATATTTTCGCTCTTTTTGGGTGTGCCTTGAAATTGATTTTGCGAACATAGGCCTAATTTTTAGTAAGTTTTTATAGTATAATGATGTACACTTGGTTTCTCCCTGTGCATCACAAGTGTGTCGTGTGGCATTGAGGCCGTGCTGCTCCAACGGCAGCCCATTGTAAGGTTGGTAAGCTGGACCAGGAATCTTTGTTATAACTATGGACGAGTTTTCCTCTGCAGGGGATTCACTTGATTCCATCTGTTTCTGAACGGTTTACATTAGGTTCAGTAGGGATTGATTAGTGATACTTTTTTGTTGGTTAATATCATTACAGCTTGTCTCAGGATATTGCAGTTTATATCAGGTTTTCACCTCGTGAAGTGTGAAAGGGCACTGTATTTGCATGAGGAATTTTTTTCATGTTTCTGGCTGTGTAATTTTGTTAGTTAAGGTAATCTGCTTTGAAGCGGCTTTGGACTCCTCGACTACATGTCAATTCGATCTCGAATTTGGAAGCAGCGATGAGTGGTTTCTTCCAGTTTTTTGAAGTTTTCTCACGCCCCAGATGCGTATGTTAGTTTCAGATGGGATTGTCCAACGACCTCTAGGTGCGTGTGGTATTGTTTTCAAATGACTAGCTTCCTATATTTCGTCGTTGTCTTTGTGATGGGCATATATTGTTCACAGTTAGTTCATTGTCATATCATTGGTTGCATTAGGTCTAGATATTCACAAGCACATTTTATGGTAGCAAAGAATGATCATGACATAGTAGTGGACGTCATTTGGTCTGACCATTCCCGATTTCAGCTTTCTGCGACTTGTTTTTAGCCCAATAATTCAATCATGATAGCAATGAGATGGTGTACGGTATCCAACCGCTGCCTGCTTGCCTGACGTGGTCCGCCCTTAAAACACCCTAAGAATCGATAATTTGTCAAAGAATAAGCTTCTACTCTTACCAGTTTCTAGAACACTCGTCTCCACGATTCTTAGAGTACCAGTACCGTGTTCATACTTATGCCGAGCATTCTTGAACTGGTTGGCATTTAGGTTGTGCTGGTCTTCGGCGTTCCACCAGTTTCCCTTGCCATGGCTGCAAGCTGCAATTGAGGCCCTCACTTAACAAGCGTTCAACCTTAAGAATGTAAATGAAGTGATGAACGAGTAACGCTCTAGTCCAGGGGGCAATCGTTTCTTTGCGTAGCCCAATTGCTGCTGCTGCTCCACAAGCTGATGTAGATTCCCATGCCTTGATTGTTAAGTAAAAGGGTTCCTTTCGCCTTCTTGTTTTGAAAGGCACGGATCGGGACTGCGTGCACAGAGAGTTTGGAACCAGTTCAATGATTTTGTATTTAGTTTGAAATGTAAAATCAGATGTTGAAGGTTTAATTGAGAATCTGTATGTTTGTGGGGATGTGAGTGATTGAAAACTCACACAACGCTGCTCTAGTTAGATCGAACTAAACCGTTATCTTCTACCATGATTTTTCCTGCCATTTGCAAAGCATCCCAGTTAGCAGGATATAAGGTTGGCCCTTAAATATTACCTAAAATTTCGAAGTCCATTTCGTCGTGCACGTTTTACGACGAGTCGTCCTCTTCTGAAATCAACTGCACATGGCAACAAGTGATCAAATTATCTCCATCGATCGCCTATTCATTGACATAGCCTACGAACGTGATGGACATTGAACTGTGATGTACAGTTGTATTGGTAGCGAAGTTGAAGCAGAGGGAGTTAGCGTGTGTAAATCTTCTACAACGCATCGTTGGGCAGATATGGAAGGATTCCAGCAAGAGATGATGAGGCACCCACCTGGCATGGATAATTGTGTGCGCCGCGTCTGAGTAGGCAATTTAGATGAATCCGAATGGTGTCAACTAATCTTTAGTTAGAATCAACAATTCTGCTACAGCGAAAACCATCACAAGAGTGTATGGGTGCTCCCTCGAGCTCATGACGAATCCCGACAAGTGATGCCTATCTGCTTGAAAAGCATTTGAAGTAACTGTAGTTCCATCCCAACATTCAAAGACTTCTAGGCTAACTAAAACTAAGTTCACTGAATCCTGAACTGATCATTAGCACAGTACCTTGACATCCAGAAAGTGGGTACCAAGAAATGATAAGAATTTTCAAGTTTTTCTGCTCTTTGTATGTCAAATGAGTGTTGGAACGATGAGGCGAGCGATGGTAGATCGTGAAAAGGAGTTCTCTTCGAGTAACACATCATACTATAAAAAATAATGCCGGCATAACCGCAAAGTTTGAAATAATTCTTTTTAACACACATTCCACTCAAGGTCAAAAGCAATCTCTGGATGTCGAGAATGATTGTGGAATAGACATCCCATCAGTCGTTAGTTGTTTGTCGGAAGAGTTTATGCAAGACTTTAACGAACAGTTTCTGTCTTGGCTGTCGGTGGCATTTTACAGTTATGGAAATGACGTCACCTCGGATGAGGGTGATAACGATCCTCTGTCCGATGGGTAATGAGAGTCAGACAAAGCTCATGTGGGAAGCAATTCTTCTCTTCAACAGTTCGTGTGGGACGGACATCCACACGCTCTCTTTCTCTTCATGTGTAAAGATTTGGTGAGTGACTGGAATGGTTCGTGTCACCACGCCGATTATACTTTACACAGATGCAAGGGTTCCAGTAATTTATTTTCACAAGTCTGCGGATTCCGAAACTCGACTGAACCATGCGCATTGTTGCTATATCCGCAAAAGGTTTGTCAAACTGACATGAAATATCAGGTGGTTGGTAGTATCCACAAACATTTTCAATATGGCAGTCGGTTTCAAAGGGGAGAGTGCTGAGCGCGGTACTGGCTTCTGCCGTTATCACCTATGTGGTTTAGATTTTCGTACTCGATTTAACAATGTGGCTAGGTGGAAGTCATCCACTGCATTCTCATCACCAGGAAGCCTGTGTAGGCCATTGATGTTGTTCTCATTGCTGAGTACAGAACATAAGATGATGTTTAATGGTGGCTCCTCAAATTGCTTTCAATGTTTGTGAGATCTATGAATCAGAATTTCATGCACGCAATGGAAATTTTGTGTAGATTTAATATCGCCTAAGAATTTTCAAGTGGTAAGTCCAGTGTTGAATCTAGCGCTTCCTTCCCGCAATTTGATGGAGATACAAACCAAAACCAAAAATGTGCAAGGGTTCTCTTGCTCAGGCAACTTGTGAAATCGTCGTGCTATCATCAGAAGAGCCTGAGTTACAGCTGTTCGGATCATTCACAACAACCTTGAATAGTCTTTTGGGTAACAACGATTATCACCAACAGTCACTGGTTCTACGCAACGTAGAATTGAGCTGAAAGTAGTGGTGCAACAACAAGAGGAAATAAATCGATCCCCTCCAACGTTTTGTTTGCTTATGTGTTCGAAGGTTTATCCAAGTTTATACAGGACAGACACCATACATTTGTAAGCCACTTGGCGATTAACAGAGCACCATTGTCGACTTCTAGGAGGGAAACCTGGAGCTCATTACGGGTAGTACCGTAGTTTCAAATTCCAACGTCGTGTTATTTGATACATGAAAGACAGAAACGAAGCTACAGTTTGAAAGCGGCAGGTCAGCAGCATCAACCTTTGCGAGCACTTCCATACACGCGCGACGGGGTGTAATCGCGATGGATCCTTGATCACTGGAGTGAAGAAAAGGAGTATAACTCCGTAGCTGATAGCTGGATCAGTTGGCGTGTATCTCATGACTGAGAACGACTGACTGACTGACTGACTGAGAAAGTGAGTGAGTGAGTGAACTTGGGAGTGAGTGAGTGGGTTCTGCGACTGCAACACAGATAGTCGGTCGCACTTCCTTTCCTTTCATTTCCTCCCCCGACGACGGATCCAGACGAGTCTAGACCCACCAGCTTCGCCGCCACCCCGCGCTTCTTCTTCTTCTTCGCCGCCGACGATGCCACGCGTGGAGGCGCCCCTGATTTCCTTCTATAGCATCCACACACAATAACAAATCGAGGAAATAATAAAAATGTAAAAACATATAATAATAATAATAATAATAATAAATCGAAAAAAATATATATATATATACACAATCATATGATCAGTCTTTATTTTAATGCAGAAAATAGTCTTTTATGTCCAGTGTAAGATGACATATTTATACATATAAAAATAAATAAATAATACAACGTGTGTGGGAGAGAGGGGAGAGAGAGAGAGAGAGAGGAATAGAAGTAATAATATTGTATGATTTAATATAATTTATTTTATTTTTTTGAAGGTTCAAAGTGCTTACAAAAAAAAAAAAAAAAAAAAAAAAAAAACTTTGCAAAAGGGATACTATGAAAGTGAATACAGTATTTTCTTGTTAATCATATTATTTTTTGCAAAAACATTATTAAATATTAGAGATTATTAGTCATTCGAGGTGATTGATTAAAAGTAGGATGGAAATCATCCTTGTCAAGGCTATCGTCCTGTAGTCCTATAGTCTTGGTTATTTGCTTTTGCCACGTGGTCTTGCTTTGTCCAATTATATATAACCGTGTGGCATGTGTTAATTATCTTCATTAGTTAATAAAATTCAGTATGTTATTTATTAAATTAAAAAATATATTTATCTATAACTTTGGAAATACATTTATCTTGTAATTGTGGAATTCTATTCAAGAAGTAAAACGTCTACATGAGATTTTTAATTACAACTATTTATAACACTAAATCAAAAAAATCCTTGAATTATACTAAATTAATACTTATTTGATCTTATTTTAAATCTAAAATTGTAGAGAGTAATAAAATATCAAGTACATGCTAGTAACAATTTATATATAAGAATCTATATATTTCATCTAAATGAATAAATAAATATAGGAGAATATTAAATGGACTCATGTTTTTACTAAATAAACCCATTTTTGATGATGAATGTGGTTGGTTTTTATTGGTTGTAGATCCAATAGTGGAGAAAGAAAACTAGAGATTATTTTTTATTTTTCATAATAGTTTAGATAGATGGATTGATTTAGTAAAAACTTGGATCTATTTAATATTCCCTTAAATATATAAATATAAAATTGAATATATTTTCCAAAACACAAAAAACTTGTTGAAAGTTTCAAACATTGAATATTGGTTGAAAAAAAGGTTTTTTTTTTTTTTTTTTTTTTTTTTTTGGATATACAAAAATAAGAAACAACTTCTAAAAATTTCGATTTTGAACAAGTTACTCCAAGTAAGGCACTCGCTTGAAAAAATGAATAAATGCACAAATAAATACCCCAATAAATACAAAATAAGTAAACAACACAAAGAAGCAACCAAGACATGGATGTATTGCTATTGGTCTCAAGCTCAAAGAACTGTCCACACCAAGTGAACTCTAGAAGGGACGTTCGTCCAACGAACGAACGTCCTCGTTCGCCGTCCTCGTCGGCTTCGTCTTCGTCTTCATCGTGGTCCTTGCCTTCGTCTGCGCTTGCGATGGCGGGTGTTGTTGAATCATCGAGCTCTGTATTGATTGACCGATTTCGCAGCCATGGCGAACGTTCAAGGAGGTGGGTTTTGATTTGCATCGTCGCAGTTTCTACATACTTCGCATTTTTTTTTCTTGTTCGAAAAAGCAGCGGAAAGGGTATTAGTTTTTCTCTTTCGCACTAGATTAGGGTATGCCAATACTACAGACCCGTACGAGGCAATTTTGTAGTAGTTTGGATTGGAACGAATCGCTTGTAGGTGCGTTTCGTTTTGCAAATTGAAAACGCGTTGAGTTTGATCCTCGTGAAATCGATGAATTGATTGGTGAGAGGTGTCAATCGGAGCGATGCGTTTCATCTTTTCCTTTTTTTCCATTTTTGTGGAGGTTGCGCCTCTATGGCTTGAGTTAGTTTGTTGCATTTGTGCTTTGTAAATCTAGTCTCTGAATGGACCAGGGATTGAACATTCTTTTTTTCTGTCTTTGGTATGAATTTGTGGGAATGGTGTGAGCAGGGAACATGCGAGGGAAGCGTTCATCCATGAGCTTCATTCGGGATTTTGTAGTTGGAGCGTTCAATTTTGTACTCGCATTTTTGAAAACCATGTTCTCTGTAAGCCCTGCACACTAGTATATACGTTTCAATTTTGAAGAGAAGTATCTTCTTCATCTTTTATTTATATATTTATTTATGTTAATTTTTCGCTCTCTCTCTCTCTCTCTCTCTCTCTCTCTCTCTCTCTCTCTCTCTCTCTCTCTACCTCTCTGAGCTGCTGCTGTTAATAAGTGTCTCCAATTGGCATTGCAGATGGAAGCGCATCAGACATACGGAAACGCACGACCAGGGGCACCTACCCGTCCGTCCGGTGGTGTAGGTAGAGCCCCCGGAAGTGCGGCACCTCGTGGCACAACCAACGTGCACAGCTTATTTGATAGCAGTACGCTTCTGTGCCGTTTGTGTTCTGTTTTAAAGATGTGCCTTATCTTCTTTTTGAAAATGTCTTCTGATATGTAACCAGCTTACTATTTGGTCTTCTTATGATTTGTTTGCTTATTTTATCATTTTTATTGTTAGTTTATCATCACCAGGAATAGTGCAGTATTGAGACGATCACGTTTGTAAATATGTACTCATGCTAGGGGAGAGACATCTATTTGCAAAAGCTTTTGAAGCAAAGTGTAAAATTTAAGTTTTTGGTTTGGTATTAGCGTTGCTCATGTGGAGGTGTTGCAGGTTCTTCGGGTTCGGGGGTGAATGGAGATCATGGCAATGTTCACGTCGTCAATAGCAGGCGGGCTTGGCAGAGTAAGGTCAGCGAGGCCAACGCTGCTAGGAAAGTGGTAAGTTACGGTATGAACATATTTATAAAAAAAATTATGGCATGTATTCCCCCCCTGTAAGCGTTACTCATGTTGGGTCAGCTTGTTAGTGGTGTTTTTGGAGTAACTTTGTAAAATGACGAGGCTAATTTGGATGCTCTTTGTTTTTTCTGTGGGCCAGATTGTGGTGGACTTCACAGCATCTTGGTGCGGACCTTGCAAACTCATGGCTCCCGTCTTTGCAGAGTTGAGCAGGAGGTTTGGACAACTAATTTTTGTGAAGGTGGATGTTGATGAAGTTCAGGTACTCATTGCCTTCGTGTAAATGTGGATCAATACACAACTTCTCTCAATTCTTGTGATTGTGAAGCAATCTGTCTTTTCCTCGATATTCATCTCGTTTCCAAGTCTATCAAAATGGTAATTCAACTATTTCTTGCATTTCCCATCCCGCATGTACAGGAGGTTGCAGCTGAATACGATGTTCGCGCAATGCCCACTTTCTTATTCATCAAGGATGGCCAGCAAATCGATAAAGTTGTTGGAGCTGATAGGAATGATCTCGAGAGGAAGTGCAATAAGTATGCTACTAGTCGATGAGCATTGCAGATATGCTTATTGATCTTGGCAGTCATACATGTCCACAACTTTGGCACGGTATTAGTATCTGAGGGCCATGATACCGTTGTAAATATGGCATAACTATATCCAGCTAATTCGCATAATTGCCATTGTTTTCATGCTATTGGGGACGGTCCAGAACATGTGTGTATGGATCAATAAGACAGGACAAGTTTTAAAATTTAAAATTTTCATGTTTTTTTTCTTGTATTTTTATCAAATTCGAAATTCTTGTAGCATCTTCATTGTCAGAACGAGCTTTTCGTCACATTGATCGAGCAGGACGAAACTCTTACCTCAAAGTGAAAACTTATGATCGACTACGGTTGGGAGGGATTTCCGCTATCTCGAGTGATGAGAAATTAAATAATAATAAACGTCAATGCCAGCATGTTTTGGAGAACACTGTGCTGGTTCTGTTCTCAAGGGAGCTAGGTAATGTGGTCCAGTTGAATAGCCTTGTGTGAAAGGTACTGGTTGAACAGCTAAGTGGTTTAAACTGTACTTCAAAACCCACCCTTGCCCTGGTTGGCGTGGACAGGTTCCGCTTTGTATTCATCCGTAGGATGCATTCCTGGTATAATGGGCATGCCTGAGGTGAGCAACCCCGTCGTGCTGGTCCCCAGGTTTTGATCAAATATAATATTCTGAAATTGTAGAAATGTATTCTTTCCTGGCAGAGCTGTTTAGGATTTGAAGTGTTTTAAGGTTTGCTCCGCTGTAATGTCTCATTTTGTTTTGGTGGTCTTTGGTTGCGTTCTTTGACCTCTGTTTTGGTGCTTTGTCTTCAATCTTGCATTTTTCCTTGCATTTTTCTTGCGCATCTAACTTCAAATTTTGGTGCTTTTTTTTCTCTGCTTTTTGTCTTGGCCGTGGTTTTTGTTTGCATGTTGCCTGCAAATCACATTAGGAAAATTAGTTTTGGTGATTTGTCTTCAATCTTGCATCCCACATCTTGTTCTTCTTTTGTATATGACTACCACTCTTGCTTTGATATAATTATTTTTGTCTTTTTTGACTTCCTATCTTCTTTGTATTGTAAAATATCATTAAGCACTTTTATTTTGCTCTATATTTTTTATTTTCATTTTAGAAGCTTCTCTTTATGTGAATTTTGTGATTAGAGTTGGTTAACTTATCACAAATGATATTGCATGGCATGAATAGGAGCTTCAGGTATTATTAAATTATGACATTATTTGTCTTGAGTTTAAACTCCTTGCATTCTCTAATCAACAAGAAATTCAGTATAACTTGTTTTATTACTATATTTAAAAATGCATACAACAAAATTTTCAAGTACTGTCTATTCTTAAATCTTTGTGATTAATCAGTTTAATAAGAGAATTAATAAGAAAAAGAATTGATCATCTATTAGATAGAATGTAGAAGCAATTATTTACATATGTTATTAAAATCTTAGTGTATTTATAAAGATGATAGTTTGCAATCAACATCAGTCTATATACTATACAATGTAAAATTCTAAGGACTTCAAACCTTGGTCTGTGTTTTTGAATATTTTGATGTATCATGCATATTAATTTTGTGAACTTGCTGCAAAAATAGATAATTAGAAACACCAATTTATTTATTTTTTGTTTTCATTCAACTGTAGTATAATATCTATTGTAGATTTTTATAGAATATGTTATGATGTTAAATATAAAAGTTTAGAAGTTATAAAATCATTTTATAATTCAAACAATATTAATGTTTTTGAAGATGGTGAAAGAAAATACAATGTTATAATGATAAAACTATTACCATAAAATAACTTCATTGATGAAGAACCAAAGATAATGATATGGATATATGTATATTTATATACATTGATTCAAAAAATTATCTTAATATTTTAAATTTTGTTTTATTTTATTTTTTTCTTGAAATAGAGCTATAAGTAGGTATTTGATTTAGTAAATAAAGTTGTTAGTATATAGTTCAAGAATTAATGCTTTGAAGGTTTTTATGAAACATGTTTATGGGTGAAGAGTTTCCTACATATGTATATGCTTTGCATTGAAACAATATTTTGACTCCTTACTTGTTGCTCAATGAAAACACTATTATAACTTCTATAGTCCCTTATTGCTATAATTTTTTGCATAACAAAGTAGCTTCAAATTGATACAAGTATCTTAAAAAATTGAAAATAAAATTTATACTTTACTTAGAACTTTTTAGAAATTATATAACAAATTTTCAAGATTTTGGTAAAAATGATTTTTTCACTTTAGGAGACTGGTGTGAAGAATTAGAGGAACATTTGAAAGTTCTACACAAGTCTAAAACTAATCGGGTGTTTTTGAGCATTAGGATGAAATCAAATTTGCAAAAAACAACATTTTACTAATAGAAATTAGAGTGACTAAAAACTACAGTAATTACAATAAAAAAGAAGGTGCATATGTTCTATATGGATTGTAGTATCTTGGAGGTAGTTAGAAGGATAAGACTAGGACCTTGTGGCCCCTCTAAAATACATTACATACTACTTGTAAACCTTAGTGATGCTTGATTCCTTGACTACTTAATTAAATTACTTTTGAGGTGAATTTCAATTACCCAACTTATTCAAGAAGCTATTAAGTCTATTTTTTAATATATATATCATTATATAATTTTTTAATTTATATTTATAAAAAACATATATTTTTTAATATTTTTAAATTTATAATCAACATAAGAAGTTATTATATTTATGTTCTAAAGTGTTTATTTAAAAACAATAACATTTATTGCTAATATCTAAAAGAGACAAGGTTTTCCACCTTATTTAGAATTTGACAAAGTCAAATTAGTAAAGTCCTACTATATTATAGATATAACTTATTGCATCTTAATAAAATAAATAAAATTTATTGTAGCACAAGTCTATTCTCTAATTGTATTTGCAAATTAGTTTAAGCTTCTATTCTATACTTTTGTTTTTTGTTTTGTTTTGTTTTGTTTTTTTTTTTTCAATGAATTTATAAATTTATGAATCTATGTAATTATTTTCTAGGAAATTTTGATTATGAATATTTAAATTTTGAGATAAAATTTAGAATTAGACCTATAATGCTAAAAACATTAAGATGAACATTAAGAAGATCTATTAAACTAATCTTTTTGTGAATAATATGTGTCAAGAATTTTATTTATTTTTTAATATGCAATTTATTATTTTTTTATGATAGATTTTTTAAAAATTTTACTTAATAGATTTTCAAAAGATGATATTTAAACAGGTATGTCTTATACCAAATACAACCACTTGCACCACTCTCAATTAGTTCTACACATAAAAATTACCATTTTTTTTTAGTATAATTTCTATGATCAAGCCAGAAGTGTCATGCAGTGAATGATTGTTACAGAAAATAATTCTCCCATCAATTTTCATGGAAAAAAAAACAAACAAAACAAAACAAAAAGAAGTTAGACGGTACCAGGAAAAGACCGCACCAAAATCCCAAACAAAGAGAGACGCATCAGAAAAGCCCACAACGCATCACGAGGAGCTCTTTCTTCACAGAAGAACACCACTGTTCGTCGAAATGGATGGATAGATTCATTCATCTGCACCCTCGCAGTCCCCACAAGGGGTGCCCACTAGGGACGCCGTGTGTGTGCGCGCGCCCGCGCGTGAGGAGGAGCCGTGGGGACTGCGTTGCTCGGTGTCCGTGATCTCAACGGAGAGGGTGCGCAATTACAGCACCGGGTGAGTGGACGGGTGGGTGCTTGGGTTTACTCACAGCGAGAGGGAGGGAGGGACGGAGTGGGCGAGGGAGGAAGCATGGCATAAGGCGTTGCTGCCTCTGACACGGTCAATCACCCAGGGTTGTCCGACAAGTGGGCCACAAACAGCGCTGCGCTGTTTCACGATATTGCTCAGGGACTAACCCTGCCATGTGTTTTAGGAACTTTCACGATCCCAGGCCCTTGGACACCATGTTGCAATAGCCACTTCGTTTCTGCCGTGTATCCCCTCTTGCAGCACTTGCGGTAGCGACCCCCCCCCCCCCCCAGATGGCTGTTGTTCACGCTACAGCTCGCTCATCGTCTGCTTTAATTTCTCCTCCTGGATTGTCTTAATTACTGGTGATGGTGGGGTCGAATTACTTCCGTTTACCCTCGGTTTGGTGGAATATGAAGAGATCTTGTCATGATTTGGGTGAGTTGAGATTGCCTGGTCACTGTTCATCGTGTTTTTGGTCCACGATGCGAATGCCGTTGAGAAATACCGGCCCGTGTGGTGACGCAGTCACGGCCGTGTGCTTGTGGTTGACTAGTGAAGTAGAGTCATTCTGAGTTTGGGATAGTGTGGCCTTTTGATGGAAATGGATTGAGCAATGAATGGGTTAATCTGGCTGGGGTGTGAAATCGTCTTTCGTTTTGTCTGTTTGTTTCTTCTCTTTCATCATGTGTAGATATATTTGAATCGCTGCAGTCGCTGTTCATTTGGGAGATATAGAAATATGACGGTGGCAATCATGTTGGTCTCTCAGAACCGGTCATGTCCTGTCTCAGTAGATGATGTATGATGAAAGTTGGTAATCACCATTATTTGGTGTCCAAACAGAGACGACTAGTTCAAAGGATGTGGCTTGCGTAAGGTTCAGAGTGCACACATGAATCTTGCAGTTCCGTTTTTTTGAATTAGGGTTTATCATCTTACTTTGATTTCTTCGCGACAAGGCAACTATAATTGTATCTTATAATTTGCTGTTGAAATTTGTAACCCTCGGGAACTCATCTTCAATACTCATCTCCTTACCGCTGTAACGAGTCACTACTATAGTTGTCCTCTAGTGGTAGTACAATCGTATTCTTCCCTGCATCATGTCTTGTGGCTCTTCTCTTGCAATTAGTCGACAATAATGGCTGAAAGAATCATTGCAGCAGTCTGAATCTAATTTTTCCTTTCTTTGTTTGTGGCGTAGCAAATCATGGAAAGCAAGCATGGATGGAATCGGAGTTTCTGATAACGTGGATAACGAACATCGAATGCATGGACACTACACATAATAACCGGCGTGTGCTAGTAGCATGTGGAAGGTTCTTGTCCTCTGTGTGTTGATTCACTTATCCAGTCCATGAATGCGTTTTTCTTTTTTCGTTTTCTTCTCAAACGTGAAGCGAATCAATTATGTGAATCTATATACTTTAGTACTTCGGAAGCTTGAACTCGGGTTACTGATTTCAGATGTTCGATTTTAGACCGCCCTTCTTTTCTCACTGTTATACAGTTGTGAGCTTCGGACATGGCATCTATAATCGAGCCTTTTCAGTAGGAGTTGCCACTGGGGTTTGAACTCTGTCAAGATGATACTCGTGGCAGTGGTCGTGCATCTGATTGAGGAGTGTACCATATTGGTTGTATGGTTCCTCGCAAGGGTAGTGCGGGTGGCTCCGTTCTCCAGGCGTGTTCGACAAATAATGCTTCGAAGGCTTTTGACAGACCCAGCTCCTACGTAATAGACTTGAATCAGTATTACTTTTTCAGGACAAGCTTCAGATGTTTAGAATACTAAATCGTCATGGTTTATGGGGGAGATGAAACATGTATAGCTCCGGATACCCTTGCGATGGAGGAGACAAAAACCAGGAGATACGTACGACAAAAGAGCAGCTCCGAACTAGAAATTGAACGCGATGTTTCTGGTGTGCATTCTTCAGATTTCTAGGGACCTTATCTTGTAGAGCTCAAGTATCGCAGGAACATGAAACCCTGGTTTAGAATATCCTTGAACCTCTCACAGGAAAACCTAAAGAAAATTTCTTGTTGAAGAAATAGCCGTCTGGATAGCCAATCTTAGGAGGATGTGATGGCAACGCTGTATGGCCGGAGATTGCCGTCGTTGTTGAGTTCGGAGAACGCAATTGAAGATGATGTACAGTAAATGGTGTAGGCTACATGGATCCAGGCCTGTACAGAACCGGCTCTTGAATCTGTTATGGAGTGTATGCATTAGAGCGTTACTTTTCATCCAACAACGATTGATTCTCGGGTCTGAATTTTAATGGAGTGACGTATTCACTTATCCAAGTCGCTGAATTTGGACTAGTGGTAGCTCAAAATTCTTTTGTGAAGCTTGGCTTGGATTGAGCTTGTTGTTTCAGTGAAGATTAGTATAGCATGTGAACTTCAAAATTGATTCTCTAACTACTATTCAAGTGCGACCTTCATTGGAAAATTGAAGAACTACTCACAAGGGATGAGTTGAACTCACGTATGGCATTGGGTGAGTTTACAACGGATTGCACTCAACTAGGGTAATTACTCTACTAAATATAGTTCGTTGTTACAAAGAAATATAAATTAGGAAGAGTTTAGAAGTTGAGTACTAACTGCCAAGAGTCCAACTCGACCTGGCAATGTAAAAGAGCAGCAGTAACTTGACGATTCCCAGATTCGCAACCCGCAGCTCAAGACGGGAAACACCCGATTCCCACCTTAAGCATATACACCTTGGCCAGGGTCATGAGGAGAAAGAGTGAATACCATCTCCAAGTGCCTTACTCTTTGTGAGCGATATCAACGTGCCTCACTTTTGGTATAAATCTTAGTCGTTAGCACTTACTTCGTACAAATCGTACTCGTTGGCCTAGGTTTAGGATGTAGAAGGTAAGAGGGATTGTTGAAGATAATTTTCCAGAGAAGTAACAGAAGAATTATTATAAAAAGAAGAGGACGTACCAGAGCTGATTGCAAGCGGTGCCAGACACGTGCTTGTTTTCCAGAGCTGTCACAATGGGTCGGTTTTGAAAAGTGTCCCCAGAAGCTGCTTCACATTTTTCTCTCACTAGGCTCCAATTCCTGTGAACCTCCTTCACACCAGCAGTAAATTGAATTTTTTTTTTGCTCTGAAGGGGCTTGAGGGACACATGCGCCGATGTTCACATGTGGGTACTGCAGCTCACTGAAAATGTTGGATGTCTTGATTGCAACACACATGATCCATGTATTAATTAACATTTTCAGCCCATCAACTGCTAAAAATGAAAGTCTTTATGCACAGAAATCCCCTAAATTGGCTTATGATCTGAACACACCTTGCAAGGCGTGTTTAAAGTCTCGTCCTATCTTAACCATAATTAGAGTGTTCCCTAAAAGTTCTTTTTTCGACACAAACAGGGATATCTCTGATGCAATAGAAATAATATATAGTTCCACCGAAGGACGTGAGTCGAAGAAAGATCTCTGGCATTCCTCACGCGAATCAACCCTTGCGCGACGTTTACATCACCGAGGCGCCACATTTATGCGCAGCCCTAATCTCGCAATCGAGAACATTAGGGCCCCCCAGCCTATTATTGACAAGTAACTGCAATAAATCATCTGGCGACTCGTCGAACAAACAGCGACAAGCCACTGCTGCTTGTTAACTGCCATTCACACATTTCTAGTGAATCCATTTCCAACTCCACACGGAATTCGTTTGAGTGATGATTGAGGACTGAGTGTGGTTGCAGAAACTTGCCAATTGACAGACGTTGCTCGGTTTGGAATGTGATGACAGTGGTTCACAAGAGTGCTCACAGCTGCTGATATTGATCACTGTGCCTAGTGAAGCGAGTTTTAGATCCAGGTTGTAGAGGTCTAAGCAGGCAAGTTTTAACCGAATTACCTGATCACACACCATGGCTGACCAGTCGAGGGCAAATGCGACGGATGAGATTGTCTTTCGGCTACCCGTCGATTCTGAACACAAAGCCAAGACATTGCACATCTTCAGCTTCGCAAAACCCCACATGCGAGCGTTTCATCTCTCCTGGATTTCGTTTTTCACTAGTTTTCTTTCGACATTTGCTGCCCCGCCGCTCATTCCAGTCATCCGAGACAATTTAAACCTAACAAAAACTGACATCGGACAAGCTTCCATCGCTTCAGTATCTGGTAAGCTCACCAACTCAAAATTGGAAACGCATCAATACTGTTTTGAAGTCATTGTTGCCAGATCCGTGTCAAATGCATTACTTATCGTTCTAAACTGCAGTTGTTTTCGACAGACAATGAGAAATTCAAGGACGGGATTGAAGCAACTGCATGACTGTGAACAGTCATTTGCCACTTGGCTCTATGTATTAATAAGTTGTGACATTTTGCAGGTGCGGTTCTGTCCCGGCTCATGATGGGAACTGTGTGCGACATTGTGGGGCCACGATACGGCTCTGCGTTCCTCATCATGATCAATGCACCTGCAGTGTTCTCAATGGCGGTGGTTGATGATCCCGCGGGCTTTCTTATCTGCCGATTCTTCATTGGCTTTTCGCTTGCGACATTCGTTTCGTGCGAATTCTGGGTGACCAACATGTTCACCACAAAGATTGTGGGTACTGCTAATGGGCTCGCTGCTGGCTGGGGCAACCTTGGTGGTGGAGCTACTCAAATCATCATGCCTCTAATCTTTCTCTGGATTAGAGACAGGTAAATGGCTGACGATCTCTGGCTGAATTTGTACTGACTGCTTTGTAGTGTGATCAATTCTCGATATACCACTGATAGCAGTTGTGATTTGGGGGAATGTTCTGGCAGCTTTCATCATCCATCGTTCATGGCATGGCGCCTCGCCTTTTTTCTCCCCGGAACAGTACACATCTTCGTGGGACTATTGATCCTATTTCTTGGCCAAGACCTTCCTGATGGAAATGACACCACACATCTCCACAGACAGAATGATGTCAAAGATAGCTTCAACAAGGTAATCCAGAGGTCCATCTCTTCGTACCATCTCTTCAACGTATGCTACTCTTTCAGATTCGAAATGGACCTTGAATCTGAAATTTGTGGCAATGCTAGATATCAACATATGCTACCCTTTACAGAGTTCTTTGTAGTTGAGAAAATTATACTTTGACATGCTCTCAAGTCTCCTGGAATTGTCTCAATGTTCATAGTTGAGACACACAAGATAGGTGGTGAACTTTGTCAATGTTGAAGCTAATTCATACCTTGAGTTTAAGCCATGAAAAACTAAAAATGGTGCGTTGCTTTACTGTGTTGATACAATACAAAAAACCTTCCCTCTTGATGTAAAAAATACCCTTGGAATCAGCACCAACTCCTTCACCACCGGACACATTTGCACAAAATAGTGGTATGAAATTGGCATGAACTCCCACGGTGAGATCGTGCTCATGCTGACATACCTTCTTGAATGCTGGCAGGTATTGTACTTCGCAGTAACGAGTCCAAGAACATGGATATTTTTTATAATCTACGGGTACAGCTTCGGGGTAGAGCTGACTGTTGACAACATCATCGCTGAGTATTTTTACGATCGCTTTGATTTGAATCTGAACACCGCTGGGGTTATCGCATCGGCCTTCGGTTTTATGAACATCTTTTCTCGTCCAGCGGGTGGGTACCTCTCCGACTACATTGGGCGTCGTTTTGGGATGCGAGGTCGATTGTGGATCCTATGGATTGTCCAGTCGCTAGGAGGTGTTTTTTGTATCTTACTCGGCCTAATGACTGACTTGTCCGCCGCCATTGCGGCCATGATCGTCTTCTCCATCTTCGTCCAAGCTGCCTGCGGAACCGCGTTCGGAATCATCCCTTTCATCTCTCGGAGATCGCTGGGCATGGTCATCGGACTGACTGCAGCGGGAGGGAACATTGGATCCGTGGTGACGCAAGCGCTCTTCTTCACATCATCCTCCTATCACACCGAAGTGGGCCTCATATACATGGGCGTCATGATCCTGTGCTGCACTATGCTGGTCACTCTGATATGGTTCCCGCAGTGGGGTAGCATGTTCTTCCCAGCTCGCAAATCGGCCACAGAGGAAGATTACTACGTGTCTGAATGGACTGCGGAAGAGCAAGGCCATGGCCTGCATTTGGCAAGCTTGAAATTCGCTGTGAATGCTCGCAGTGAGAGAGGTAGGCACGGCAGCTCCAGCTCTCGCGACCCGGAAGGCGACCACCCTACCGCTGACGGAATCGGCCTATCTCTTTGGAAGTCCTACTCGCACTAGACTCTTAACCGCAGACGCATAGCCCTAATTGAACGTCACAATTTCCAAGGACATCGATCAGATCGCTGCTATTTTCTAGACGAGTGGCGCAATTTGCGAATCCGACACCACCACAGCTTTGCTTTTGAGCATCTAAGCAAGGAAAAGCCCATCCTCCCTCGCTTCGGGATTGCAGAGCGACGATTAATCACTGATAGTTCACAGTATTTGGTGCCGCACGCATCTTGCTTTATCTAGACTCTGCGATGGCATCGGACTGTCGGCATACCGACTCCGCGACTGCGCTTCCGCACCCCTCGAGACTGCCCTTGGGCAGCTATACTGACCGATTGTTTTGGGCAGCCCGGAATTGAGCAAAACAAAGTAAAGCGTAAAAAGTCTTCGGACGTGGAAATGTTCTAGTGAGGGTATGGCATTTATTTTTCATCCAATGTCTTGGATGTCTTCGAAAGACGTGTGAATGTTTTAATAGTTTGGATGAATGATTTTCCTGAGGGAATTGTGACAAAATGATATTGTAAAAACTGTTTAAAAATTGATTTTGAAGTTTGAGCAAACTACAAAAGCTAAAATTCCAAAGTTAGTCATCTCATTCTATATCCTATTTGATTTATACAATTTTTTTCAATTCTATATATTTTTCTTCTTGTAAGACTTGAATTAAAGTCCAATACTCAATAAAACCATAATAATAATAATAAATCTTTAGAATACATATATTTTTTATTTTTAAAAATTTTTAATATAATATATATGTATATATCTTTATTATTATTAGTATAAATAGGCTATATAGATTTAGATTCTTTTATATAAAAAATAAAAAAGATATAAATCTTAGTACATATAGCAAATTTTTATATTATTTGAATAATTAGAAGTAAGTAGAAATAGGTAAAAACATGTAAAGAACATAATATCTTTCTTAAGAAATATTGAAGAAGTTTTCAAAATACAGAAAAGATATTTAAATTTTTATTTATATGCCACATGGCTATTTAAATTTAGAAATATTTTTTACTTTTAAGAAATTAGATTGAAAGCAACCTAGAACTTGATCCTTGAGGTAGAAGCTTTGTGATTTTTAATAGCTTCCACAAGGAGTTCTTAGTAGCTAGTATATATAGAGATATGAATAAAGCCATCTTTAGTCTTGCTAACATCTTTCTTATATTCTATCTTACTTAAAAACATTTGTAGCTTTTTTTGTATTTAACAATAGTCATTCTAGTTCTTTCTTGTCTTATATCTATTCAATATTTTTATTTATTTAGTTTTTATTTATTTAATTCTGTAATACAAGAGTATATTGTCTTTTAGAATTTTATCCAGATTTATGTTGTTGACAATTTGACTAGTCTACTGCTTTGTTATGGTTATTTTATTTCAAAATTGATTATATTACCTTACTTCTTATGAAATATTTATTTGCTTTAAAGATAATGGATTATCCACCTTTAAACTAATATATTTATTTTCAATATCAATGTTTTCTATTAAAATAAATAGACTATCTCTTTTGGTAGAAAATTTTATTTGCAATTACATTAGAAGTTGCATAACTAAAACAAATAAGTGTAATTGACCAATTTCACAAGTAAATCCTTTAAATCTTTCTACCATGAGTACAAAAGAGTCGAAAATTAATGTGCTGTAGAAGATTAATGGAAGAAGATCAAAATTATAACAATTTCTACAACACGTCAAATTCTTATAGTTACATCTTATTCAATATCCTATTAAAATCATATTAGTAGAATTTAAAGACAAGTTTTTGTTTATAAGTATTTGTTTCTAGTTTGTACCTTTGATAGAAAAGAATTCAGATCTTTTTTATAATATAAATTTATTTTTATAGTCATTATGGCTAATTTTAGAAAATTTAAAAATAACAAAAAATAATACTAAAATCTTATAATATTATATTTAATTGCTATCTATATTATAGAAATCTAATAAGTTACTTGCAATTTAGATTGAAACAATAAGACACTTACCAATTAACTTTAATATAACTTAACAAATAATATTAAAAATTTGTTATTGATAATATCAAATACAAATTTATTATAATAATTTGTCACTTAAGCAATCTCATACAATAATAGATTCTTTGAAAGGTGCTAAGAACAAAAATTTGGTTTAAGAGTAGTAACATCAATTTCTAGGAACTTAAAAATCTATTTATAAATATTAAAATATATATAAATCAACATATTATATTAGAATTTTGAAAAAATACAAAGAATACTAAGACATAATTTTAAAAAAAAGAATTTTATATGGCCAAAATATCAAACTTATAATTGCATAATTGATCTTTAAGAAAGATCTCAACCACCATTTGGACCAATTTACAACTTTTTGCAAAGCAAACTTACTACTTTAAAAGAACATATCAAGAAAAATTTAAAAATACTTTTATCTAATATCTGAAATTTTCTACATATACACCAATCTTCTTTGTGAAGAAAAACATGAATTCTTATAAATATATGTAAATAAATAAATAAATACCATTAAATATTATCATCCTTTGCTTTTGATATTAGAACTTCTAAATCAATTGATAATAATAGGACATGGTTAAAATCCAATATTGATAATTAATAATAACCAGGTCCTATTAATAATAATCTTCATTAAAAATTACTTTTAATTTTACAATAGTTGAATACACACAACATATGCTTGATGTTTTTTGTTGACTAAAAATTAGAAAATAGAAAGAAGACTTTAGAAAGATTTTATAACTACAAGGTTTATAAAAGTAGAATTTATGATAATTGTGTAAGAACTAACTAAAGATAGGTTTTTGTTTTAGCAAAATTGTTTTTGAGAAGTAGATTGAAGTCTAAATTTTAATCAATATTAGAAAATTTGTAATAGATACCCAATTATATTCTTGCAGATTTGTACATATATTTTTGCCAAATATGTGGCTTGCATTTAAGCTTAGTTGGTTGGTTAGATTTACAACTGTTCAATTTCAAGTGCATAAGAATATTGGTAGTTAATAGTTTGAAGGTGAAAAGAACATTAGTAATCTACAAAGATCCATTGGCTTGATTGGGCTAAAAATTCTTGAATTAGTAACTGACATAAAGAGTGAGACTTAAAAATAAAGATATAAAATTTATTTAATATTAAAAAATGATAACTTGCCATTAAAAGTTTCACAAGAAAATTGATGAAACATGTTTCTTGACATCAAGGAATTTAGTAACTTTATTCTCAATTTGTAGAAAGCTTCTTTTTAAATTTGTTGAGTTTAATGTTTAAAAATCTAATGTATGAAGAATTTGAAGCAAAATGAAAAACTACTTAAAAGATAGTATGATTTTCAAATTTTTATTTGATACTCGAGTTTTATTAGAATTTGATTAAGATCTACTTAAATTTTGTTATTTTTTATTTAAGTTATAATTAAGATTTATTAGCATTTTTTTAGAATTTAATAAGGTTATATAAGAATTTTTGTAAATTTTGATTAGATTTTATTTAATAGTGATAAGTTAATAGTAATATGATAAGAAGGAGATGATATTCAATAATGAATTAAATAATTTAATGAGATATATTGGCATATTTAGTATATTGATATCTAATTTTAAAATTCAATAAAAAAAACTAAACTATAAAAAAAACATTTTGTAGGATGTATAAAACTATTAAATAAAAACATGTAGAATATGCAATAAAAAGTAAAATTATTTTATACAAATAAGATATCTAAGTTATTTTTAGATATTTAAATATAATTTTTATAGAAACATATGAAAATATATACATACTATTTATGAAATAAAAATAAAATAATTAATTTTATATATTAATAGTTTATAATTTATTTTTAAATCTTTAAAATATCAAATATTTATAATAGTTAAAAATATAATTAAACTTTGAATTTTATTCAAATATTTAAAAATACTTTTAAACGAAAATTATTATTATATTAAAAATTTTGGAAAAAATTATTATCTTAATATTTGTTATCAATAAATAAAATTTATGTCCTATTAAAATATAATAAAATATTTAAAATTTATTAAATTTTATTTAATTGGTATATATAAAAAAATTATTTTTATTTTTAATTATTAAAAATTAAAACTAATAAATCTTATCTTTTCTAAATTTCCTATCTCTACCTACACTTACTTACACTTACTTGACTTTATTCAACTACACTCTTGATATTTGGTTTTGTTACTTCTTAACCTAAGCTAATTATAAATTTATGTTTCTATAATATACAATCTGTAATGCATATTAATAAAAAAAATAAAATATATATATATATATATATATATATCTATAAAAAAAATTATGTGAATAAATAAGATATAGTGTGATAATTAAAAAAATTTAATTCAATGCTTATTAACCAATCTCTATAGTGAATTAATCTAGTTTTCATCAATTATAATAATTTAAAAAAAAACTACAATTACAAAAGGCTATTTTTTGCTTTGATTATTGACTTAGAAAGCCATGAATTATTATTGGCCTATAAAGTGCCACCCTATTGCAAAAGTTCACCCTATTGCAAGGGTAAAAGTTATAGGGTAAAAGTTCACCCTATTGCAAGGGTAAAAGTTATAGGGTAAAAGTTCACCCTATTGCAAGGTTTGATGCACAAATGGTTTTGATTAAGAAAGATATGATTTTGTGACATTCTTCTGGGGGTAAATCCCTCCTTTAATTTGTTTAACAACTGTCTGTTAATAATCCTTGGATAAACTAACCTGGAGCTTCAGAACATCACCTCAACACTGATGATCAGACTTTGAACAGCCTTTGTATGGTCCTTCAAATGATTTTCTGATGTAAACTTGAATCTAAAAATGGAGGAAATAGTGCATCATGTCCATATGTAGAAATGGAAGGAACAGTGCATCATATTTTTATTTGCAGGCAATCACATTACCCAGCATGTGGTAAACTATGTTCTAGTGTGAACAAAAGGCAGTATGATGAGACTTTTTACAAAGGATATAATAAGAATTTATTTAGAGGATGACCTGAATGTTTGTTGACATGAAGCTCCTGTTTATTCTTCTCCCAGTTCACTGACAGTGTGAGGCACTTAGTTGAACATTAATCTTATTGGATTTAAAACTAGTGATGTCTTGCCAGGCTTTGTGTTGCTAGAGAACTAACTTTGATGAGTTTGTGCAGCTCTAATTAATTTAGATGAGGTGTTAACATCTGCCAGTTCAAAGCACAAACTTATCCTGAAATGGGCACCACATTCATATCACTCTCATTTGTTTCACATCAGGTTCATACGTAAATCTTGATTCACCATGAGAGCTTTGCTTACTTATACAATTTTTCTTTACATAATTTATTGTTAATTTTATTGCTGAAGTTCTTGCTCTGCAAAACAATGATGTCTGTGCATGCTTGATGAAACTGTGATGTCATTGTGTACAATTTATTCTACACTTTTTTTTTTTTTTTTTTTTTTTTTTTTTTTTCGTGAATCGCCAGCTATGTGTATAGTCTTGACTAAATAGAAACATTAAAAAAATATTAGGAATTATGTACAAAAAAATTATTTAGATACTACGCTTGCTTCTTGTAAGTACTATTAATTTTGTACATCATGTGGTTTTTTATGATGAAAATAATGATTTAATAAATGCTTTGAAGATGATTTTCGAAAACCGAAAAAAAAAAAAAAAAAAAAAGCATGGATTTTATATGTATATCTATCTGGTGACAATTCAGTTTCAAAGTTTTCAATTGAGAATGAAATTTGACACATTCTTAAAAAACTAAAGAATTACACAAAATCAAATTTCTGATCAGACCATACGAAAATTAAATAATAATTTTTAAAAACACATCATCATGTAATATTGATCATATCTAGTTTCCTAGAGCATTAAACTAAAACTGAGAATTCTAGCTCCGAAGCAAGACATTCAATTCCACCCTATTTTTCTCACCCACCCACCCATCCATTCATCCATCCTCATCCTCAGCCTCATCCACCCCTCCGTCCCCATCCACTCGTGGGCTAGGATACCCAGGAGCAGGTGGCGGGAAACAACTGCCATGGTGGCAATCCCTTTTCCCGCCACCCACCGGTGCTGGTCCAATCTGGCGGCTCGTTTAAGTCACGTTCTCCAATTCCTATGATTTGAATTCATATAATAATAACCCACGTTCTTTTTTCTTTTTGTGTATTTTTGTATTTGTTTGTCTTCTCTGTTTTAAGAGAGTTTTGCATGGAAACCGTATATAGTTGGCTGCAATTGCGGGGACGCAATGGAGAGTCAAGAGGGAGGTGCAAAAGAACACATTTGCTCAACGCACTCACAAGTGGATATGGCTATATCCACTTGTGAGTGTGTTGAGCAAATGTGTTCTTTTGCATTAGGTCTCCCCAACCCCCACTTGGGTCTAATCAAAACCAACCTTTTTAATAACTATTATTTGACTTTGATAAAAATATATTTACTTTGTTTAGTTAGGAATATGTGTACATCCTGTTAAGTTGAGTAGTTTAACTATCATTGTGGTTTCATCTTGACTTTTCTCAATGTATTCTTAACAATGTAGCATTGAAGGCTGATGGAGTTATCTGTTTTGTTGTTACTTTGTTCTTCTTGTAAAGTCTTTTTATTGGAAAACTGAATGATTTAAAACTCTCAAACACTATTTTTAGTATTGCACCCTCAACTGGTAAATGAATGAGTTTTATTTTTTGGGGAAAAAAATGTATTACATTAATATTGCAAAAAATGTATCTTGCTAATAAAATAATACATTCAAAAATAATTTCCAAGAATAACACTACCATATATATATTTATTGCCATACATTTCCAAGTGAATCCCAACAAATTTTGGTCAAATCTTTAACACTCCCATACATTTTTGTGTGTGTTTCAATGATAAAAAAATGAAAAAGAAAAAGATTCTCATGTAATTTTAAGCAACAAAATGATTTGATCTTATGATAAGATTGGTGTTTATTGCATGTTACAGTCAAAAAAAACATCATTGCTATTATCTGAGTTTACATATATATATATATATATATGTACATACATACATACATACATTATTTTTTATGCTTGTCTTCATTTCTTACACACTAAAAATGCATTTTCTTTACTATTTTTATTTTTTGTTTTCTATTTTCTATTTTATTTATGTTTTTATATAATTTTCAAAGAAAAAAAATCAAGTTTTGAGCTTGTAAAAAACAATAATAAGGTTTTAAAGCATTTTGTTAAGACTAGGTTAATCACTTGCAAGGATATGAAGAAAATTGTTTCAAAAACATTAAACGACTTGTTTATTATTGTAGTGTGGTTGTATAGGTGGCTAAAACCTGATAACTCACATAACACATTCATAACTTTTATCTATCTCTCTTCTGCAAAAAAAATACAAAAATAAAAAACAAACAAAAACAAAAACAAACAAACAAAAACAAACAAAAACAAACGATTCCAAATAATTTAAGCAGACACAATTTGTAGAATGTTTTCCCCATATAGTCTTGGAATTTTTTCAATTCTATAAAACCTTAGAATTTATATTGCGAGAAGGCTTTATCGAAGTGCAGCAAAAAGTATAAAATTTAAACCTCTATCTCCAACTACCTTTGATCATAAAACGTGAATACAAAAATAAAAATAAAAAAGTTAAATTAAGAATATTTTAAACCCACACAATCCAAAAAAATAAAAATAAAAATAAATTAAGAACATTCTTTTTGACTCACATAATCCAAAAGAACCTTCAAACTATGCAGCATGACAGAATGGCATCACTCGAGACGAGTAACCGAAGTGACCGGCAACCGGAGCGTCCGGTGAGCGTTGCGTCGCGTCGCGAGAGGACCCGGCATTAGCACCGACGTGCGTTTCACAAGGGAAGAGGGTGCGCGATGGATGATGATGCCTCCTCCTCGCAAATCGATGATGCATGCCCCCTCGATGTTGCATCCGTCGGAGAGCCTTGTGTGCTTGCTTGGTGTCGGTGACCCAACGTGCGTGGTTGACCCAATTGCAGCGCATCAAGCCCGGAAACCCATGTGTGCACTTCGAAATGTGTTGGCAGCTTATCAGGAATCGGGGCCCTGGTGGAGATTGCGGCCGTGACGAAAGCCGAACCAAGTAGTCGCGATTCCGTGAGTCGCGAGAATCGTCTGTCTACAGCTGACTACCAGAAGCATATATAGTAGGACGTGCCTACCCCTACATGTCAGGAATTTCGTGGCCCACGGTAATGCTGTTTTGGACTATTTAGCGTTGCAACACCTGCCGTGCGCTAATCTGACATAAAGCTGGCATCTGTAGACGATTTTGGTGTGAGGAGGGTGTGAGTTGGGGACGGTGGTTAGGGGCTGGCTTGATTGGGTACCTGGGAGTGATTGCGAGGTTTTTGCAGTTATTTGAGACTGGGAGTGTTAGTTCGGGGTGTGTGTGATTCTATAGAGTTTTGATTTGAAAGGGGACGTTGAGGCAGGGCGGGTTGCGTGGGTTTCTCAGCAACGCGTCGGACGTGGGACAAGGAGAGCTCTTGTTAGAGTTATTCCTGTAGATTTGTTGCGGTTGGAGCTATGGGAGTGGAAGGAATGGACCTGCGGAGCGGATTTTGTAAGAGCAACGGGATTTATTACAGTATGATGCCGTCGACCCCTTTACCCTCGTACCCAATCGACCTCGTGACCCATATATTTGCCCCAAAGTGTGGTGATACCGTGGCAGTTGTGGATGCTAGGAGTGGGAAGAAGCTCACATTCGCCGAGCTTGAAGAAACTGTGCGCGTTGTCGCAGCTGGGCTGTGGCAGCACCTCCGCATCAAGAAATCGGATGTGGTGTGCATTCTCTCACCGAATTCGATTGAGTTCGAGATTCTGTTCCTCGCGATCGCGTCACTGGGCGGCATCATGACCACATTGAACCCCTTGAACACAAATGCGGACATCAAGAAGCAGACTGCCACTGCAGGTATTTGAATCCAGCCTTTTTTCAGTTAATGAAACACCACTCTTCTTAGTGTCTTTTCGTCAGAATCGATTGCCAAATTGTGGTTGGTGGGCGAGGTATTCCTGTCCTTGTAGTGCCCTCATGCGGCCTCTAGGTTGTATTTGGTTTTTACTGACATTTTATGCATGTCAACAAGACGACGACTTATACCCAAATTCGAATGCTTCCGGAATCTTGATGCAGGTGCTAAATACATATTCACAGTTCCCGAGTTGCTTTCTAAGGCACAGTCTACGGGTTTACCTGTGGCTTTGATCGAAGGTGACGCAACTATTACGAAAGAAGACAACAAACCTATCCTCCTCTACTCGGATTTACTATCAGCAGACTCTAAGAACATCCCAAAGTGAGATACATTGATTTTTTTAAGATATCAGTCAAATCATTTAGCGTTCTCAAGCTTCATTGCTTTCGCTGTTGAATCAGGTAAGGAATGTTGAGACTTTTTAGGTTACAGTGTACAGGTGAGCCAAGAGGATCCAGTGGCGATTCTCTTTTCTTCAGGCACTACCGGGGAGAGCAAAGGCGTGGTACTCACGCACGGTAACATAATTGCCATGTGCGGCGTGTTGTCGAGCCCCAAAGTGAGCGCAAATTTGAACAAGGTTGTCCTCCACCTCATTCCTATGTTCCATGTGTTTGGGCTCATGGTAAGCGTGGGGAGCATTGCTCGTGGATCGACCGTGATCGTGCTACCCCGCTTCGATTTCATCGAGATGCTCTCAACCATTCAGAACTACAAAGTCACGGCGTTCCCCTTGGTACCGCCGATTCTATTGATGATGATCAAGCAGGACGTTGTGCGAAAGTATGACATGACATCGCTCTTGAACATCGGATGCGGCGCTGCACCGTTGGGCAAGGAGCAACTTGAGCAATGCGCAGTTCGCTTCCCGAACGCCAAGCTCCTCCAGGGCTATGGCTTGACGGAATCTACAGGTATTGGGTCGGTGACACCTGGAGACGGAGCGGAGTTTGCTGACCATTTTGGCTCAGCCGGGATGCTCGCGCCTACTCTGGAGGCTATGGTGGTGGATCCTCTTACAAACCAGGCAGTTGCTCCGACGCACCAAGGCGAGCTTTGGTTGCGGGGACCCACAATCATGAGAGGTAAGTTCTGATTTGCTTCAAAATGGACTGCAGAATTAGTGTGAAACAGTTTTCTTATTGTATGAATTCGTGTGATGATGTTGGTGAATCAATGAGGATGAAACCACTAGCTTTAAACTGTTGGAACATGCTGCAGCATATGTCGGCAATCCCAAAGCAACAGCTGAGACGATCGACAAGGATGGATGGCTGCACACAGGCGATTTAGTCTACTTCGACAACGATGGCTACTTGTATATTGTAGACCGCCTGAAGGAACTTATTAAATATAAGGCAAACCAGGTGTGTGGAACTCGTAGCCTCTCTCTTCGTATGGCTCTTGGTTTATCCCTCTGAGATGTGAGAGACACAGCCTTTTCTGGAATATGGGGGTCATGTTCTAAATCGGTCAGAAGAGATGCGTTTGAGGTTATGACTCACTATTGGAATCGAGCTAGCTATGGACAATAAGATCTCAATGTGCTGTCAGGACCTCTGTTCAATCTCATACTGGTGTTGTGCAAGAGGTTTTCAAGGTTTCATGGTTTTTGATTGTTCACTGAACCTTTGGGTTGAGAAACAGGTAGCCCCTGCAGAGCTGGAGTCACTTCTTTTAAGCCATCCTGCAGTCCTGGATTGCGCAGTCATACCGTGAGTCTCAACTTTCTCCTTTCATGCTCGAGGAATTTGTTATGGCTGTGATCCATTCTTCGATCACTCAGTTTTGTAGATTCCATTAAATATTCTTTCCACGGTGCTTCACCGAGATTGTACCTGGTAGCATCCTGGATTGAGCTCCTCTTTTGCATACCACGTGAAAGACACAGTAACAAACTAATCTGCGGTTAAATATTCGCTTTGCTGTTGAGTACACAGATTCCCAGATGATGATGCTGGAGAAATTCCCATGGCTTACATCGTCAAGAAGCCTGAAAGTGTCATCACCGGTGGAGAAATCATGCAGTTCGTTGCAAAGCAAGTAAGTGAACACACGCTATTTCTCTGCTTCTCATCGCCTCGCATTCAATGACAAATGTTGGCAAGATATTCTGTGGCGAAGTCGGAGAGACAGCAATCAGTCAATTTAAGTTGTGGAATGCGTGTGGCAGGTGGCACCATACAAGAAGGTTCGAAAGGTTGCCTTCATCGACTCTATTCCAAAGTCAGCCGCAGGCAAGATGGAGCGACGCAAGCTTGTGGAGCTTTCACGCCTCCAGTCCAAGTTGTAGTGCAACGATTAACCCCACTTCTGCACCTCATATTGAGCAAGAAAGTGAGATCAGCTGTGCAGTGCTTGTAGGTTCAACGTTGAACGTGAAAGCAGCTGCAATGCCAAGCTCAAGTTACTGAGGCATGAAGGCATGGACGTCATGAACAATAATCACCAGCAAATGTAAAATACTCTCACTTTCTCCTGCAAACTGCTTACTGTTCACTAAAGCTCTTGGAAGAACTGTTGGATTCCTGTTACGATGGTTGTTTCCAATTCAAGAGATTAGAATTCGACGAGCTCAAGCTCCATTTCCTGCTTGAAGGCCAAGCTCAAAGCCAAACACTTTTGATAGCTTGTAGAAGAAAATCTTTGATGCGTCGGTCTCACTTGGATCGGTGAAGACAGACGTGTGTTCGCAATAGACTTTGTTCTTGCATCATTGGATTGCTCCTTTCATGAGCTCCAATGAGCAAGTTCTTCACTGCGAAGCATAATTTTAATTTGTGTCTGAAGGTGCATTTTAAGGTGTTGGATGTATCCATATTTTTTTTATTTGTTTTACAAGATTTTCAATAATGATAAAAGAAAAATGAAAAAAAAGGAGGGACTTTTACACCTAGAAGAAGTAACTTTATTATTATTATTATTATTATTATATTTACACCAAAAAAAGTTTGTTTTGGTTAATAAAAATACAAGTTAAAGATATTTCAGAAAAGAATAGTTTAAAAGATATAAAAAAGAATGACTTTGTACATTGATAAAAAAAAAAAAAAAACAAGTAACAAAAAAAGAAAGGAAAATAGAAATCACAAGCTCCATAATTTGCATTGAGTTAATCAACATTCAACAAACAAAGACAAGTTATAACCACGTCATATTAAAATCACAACTTAATTCTTGAAAGTCTTGTCAGAAATTTAATTTTTCGGCTGATCGTAATTCAAAATCCATTATGATGAAGAAGAAGAAGAAAAAAAGTTTTTTCATTTCAGCAGAATAATAGTACATTCGCTAAGACGCAGATTCAATCAGTCACGGGTTCGATATCGCCATCCGCAGCTCAGCCCGCACCTATATCCGTTTGGTTGATATCGAGACCCTGAGTCATGAGAGGGTATCAAAACCCCTATCTCAATCAGGACATCGGCGGCAGGGTTTTAGGGGTTCGTGCTTCTTCGATCTCGTCTCTTCCTTCCTCATTCTTCTTCTTCAGCTTCGGCTTTTCTTCACCGCAGATCGACGCTGGGGCTGAGTGTGTGTGCGCACCGTGACGACGGAGGAGCCCGATTGTCGCCTCCACCAAGCTGAAGGATCACGACACCTAAGCTCGCCCCTACTGCTGCAGCAGCCTCATTGATTAAAACCAAAACGTAAGTTTGTTTTGTTTTGTTTTGTTTTTGTTTGTTTGTTTGTTTGCTTGCTTTTTGTTTTTTTTGTTTTTTTGTTATTTTGTTTTTTTTTAATAAGGGAAAAAGCTATGCTCATTCGCATATATATATATATATATATATATATATATATATATCAACGCACACACACAGAGACAATTGCGGTGTAAGAAAAGGAGTCAAGAATTTTTAGTGTCTTTTCTAGTGACTTTTTGTCGAGGTTTCGCTACGAACACCGGGCATAGAAAACATCTTATTTCAGTAGTGACGTGGTCACGGTTAGACAACCATTGAAGTATCCGTTGTTCTTGTGCTCTTTCCTGTTGTTATTCGGCTCTCTTCAGTCCGAGTTTAAGTACTGCCTCAAGTGTTTACGATTGATGATAATGTCTCTGATTTGTGAATTTGTGGGCTCTGAGCTGGTATAATATTTCGTATTTATTGACAGCCAAGTGGTCGTTCATATGCTCAGTGACACAGATTTTAGATGAATAATTCTGTCTTGGCATTTGGGTCGTCGAGGGGCTTCGATTCACAAAATCACGAGTACCTGGCTTCATCAAAGTGTTATGCTTGGTGTGTTGATTTGTGAAAGGCAATGTGGAAACTTTATTAAATATGTGTATTTGAAAATGTATTTATCAGATAGTTAGTCAACATGGATGCCGCAAATTCCGCCGAGCTGCAGCAATTTCTTGAGGTAAGCCTGACTTACTGTCATACATTTTGTGCATGCGCTCTACTGGGTTTCATGTCGAAGAAATGGACCTCAAGGAATATTCTAATCAGGTGTTTTCTCAAGTTTGTAAGTGAGCTTATACTACTTCGTGAATCTTAGCTCACTAATGGTACCTACTATCTTAATTTTATTTTGCAGCAAGAGAAACAAAAAGCTGTGCTCAATGAGCTCGTGGGCAAGTTGACCGATGTCTGCTGGGACAAATGTATTACATCCACTCCAGGAAGCAAATTCAGTTCCAGTGAATCTTCTTGTCTTGCCAATTGTGCACAACGATTCTTGGAGACTAGTAGCTTAATCCTCCGTCGATTTCAGAGTTTACAACCGTGACTGAGCTGGATCTATAGCAATTTGGAGCTGGGCGGTTTTTGAGCATTCCTTTGGGGTTGAGGAAGGTTAGTGGTTATGTGAAGGTTACGTGAATGACCACAGGATGACTCATTCTTTTGCATCTAGGTGTTCGTGTTATTTTTCTTCGGTGGAGCTGGGTTTCCACCCCACATTTCACTTATTCTAAAGTATTTATAACAACCACTGGATTTTGAAACAAGTTTTAATCATTTCCCGTCTGCGTTGACATTTCCAAACTTCTTTTCATAGAGAGGTATTGGAAGCAGCGGTTGTTTGATGAGGTCGAATGAGATTTACTTCAAGCGGGTCATTCCTGGTCTCTCATGTGGTCGACTACTTCGAAATGCTTATGTAGTACGTACATTGCAACACGATCTCATCAGTGTTTAAGTATCTGTATTGGTATATATTTTGTTTTCATTTCTGGGACCCTACTTCGGGAACTGAATTCAGTTATCATCTAATTTGGTTTCAAGGAAATGTTGGAAGTAGAAATAAAGACACTTTTTCAGTAAAACCTATCTCCGCACTGTGAGATGTAGCTTGTGCTTGTAGTCATCTAACCCCTGTAATCTTAGTTTGACAGAACGATTTCTCAGACAGCACGGACAGAATAATAGGATACACCTATAAAAAAAAAATAAAAAAAATAAAAATATACATAGCTAATCTAATACGGATGGAACATTCTAACTACCCTGAAATTTTTATCATTTTCATTACAAATGAAGTTAACAATTTTTTTTAAATATTATATTTTCTTTCAAACCCTCTATGAAGAAAGTCAATTTTCATACAGTGCGTATACTGATTATTAAAGATTTTATCCAAATTTTGCCCAGTGCAATTTGTATAGACCTCTATTAATCCAAATTAATCCTAAAATATATTGTAACGCCAAAATAATGAATTCAGGCTGTAAATTACCAATTGGGATATTGGATAATGTACTAATATTGTATTTAAAGAAGAACACTGTCTTTGAGTCCTCGAATATTGGTATTATTGTATATCATAGGATGTAAATAAAGTACATATATGTAACAGCATGATTTATTTATTTATTTCACATACTAATGAAAATGCACACTTTCATTTCTGGAAAATACAAAACTTTGATATTTTGATAGTAAGTTGGCTTATAACAAACAAGGGGTTTGTTTCTACTAGGTTCAACTGTGATTCTGTGATTTTAAACTTATTTGCTAAAAGCATTTGTGGACACTTTTTTTATGTTTTAGAGTATGTTAAAATATTTAAATTTAACTGCTTTTTATTTTCAATCAATTATCAATTCATTATTAAGGTTTGTTTTCTTTGACTACCGTTCCTCAAGTTGTGTTCAGGATTTGAATCTAGGGATATGATTTTAAGTTTTTAAACTATATTAATAGATCTACTTACCTGTAGTTCAAGTCACCGAGCTCGGGAATCGTGCGTGGACACCGAGGGCTTTCGTGGCTTCGCAGGGCAGTGGTCCTGGGATCGATTCGGCCCAGAGCTGGATCTCTCCCACGCCCTGGTGTTTGCGCCTGTAGCTCAGTGGATAGAGCGTCTGTTTCCTAAGCAGAAAGTCGTAGGTTCGACCCCTACCTGGCGCGTAATCTTTGAACCAAGGACCTTCTTATTTTCCACACGCTATTTATTTCGCAGCAGGGTAACCGGCGATGGAGGCTCAGTAAAATTCGGAGCCGGCACAAAGGATCTTTGATTACCAAATCTACAATACTATCCAAACAAGTAGCTCTAGACAAATTCAATGACAAAGAGAAGATTATATATAATATGGAGTATAATTGCACATGATGTTGCTCTATAGAACATACCATTATTCTCTGTTGATCTAATAGAAGATTAATAAGGACCTCTTAGCCAACAAAAAAACCAATTAAACATGAATATTTAACAAAAGCAAAAGATCAAAACCAACCATCATACATAAGTCTGGCCCACATTACTAAGAATCACAAACATCTAGAAATAGAGAAATGGAGAAGAGATAAACATATGATGCATCCAAGCTCATCTAGCAATTGATGGAAAATAAATAAATAAACACAAAGTCAATAACAACAAAAGACCAATATGGATACATAACAAGTAGGATGAAAGGAACATTTTAGAAAGCACTATTAATTGTAGTCACATGCATTTGAAGAGTACAATGGAGTGATATCTCCAATTTTCTATCATAAATCAAATACAAGATATCATACACTCATGGACTACAATAGAGAAGAATAATAATCAATAGTGGCATTTTATCTCATGCATGGATGAGATGAAAGAAGATAGATAGAAGATAGATATAAGAAAGTATTCAAAACTATTTAATCAACAAAACCATGTTGTATTTGAGACCACACATAATTCTAAAAACTAAAAGACAAAATCTGCTACAATACTTTAGTGATGCAAGTTGGTTTAGACTTGGCAAAATTCATTAGGATCATCAATAGTATGCAACATTCTTACTATGTTAAAATACAACAATACAACCTGTTTAGTCAAGCTATCTATACTACACAAATAGACCTCAATTTGTAAACCAAAAGGTAGTACATTGATTGCACAACTAGGAACTACAATAATTGATCAATTTCTTTGTAGAAGCTTACCAAAGAGGAGAAGTTGTTATTCTTTGGCAAACATTTAACTAAATTGGTACAAGAAGGAACAATAGATGCATACATCTGAGACGACAATTGCCCTGGCAATGTACAATTAGGGATCTTTAGCTCCTTAAACTTAGATAACTTCAATATTAAATAATTATATAGCAATAGCCATACTCAATGTACAATGTATGGACATAGACATTACATATATTAGGAAGTAAAAGAAAATTATGAAAATCTTTAGGAAATCTAATCCTAAGCCAAATATCATATTACTACATAAATACACCTTATCAATAGAAAAGTGCATTAAAAAAACACAACACCTTAACTTCTCATAAAAATCTTCACTATCAAATGAGACAATATACTCCACACCAAAATGTAGTTTTGTAGGAGGAACTATAATAATTACCAACAAACATATAATCAAAAAAATCAGTTAATATGGTATTATAGAACGGAGCAAAACAAAGTATATAATTACATAATGGACCAGAGAAAAAAAGTTATGAATAATTAATATATACACATATAGTTATATAAGGTCTAGGGCCAGCCTTTGGTAAAAAATCAAAAATTTCAATATACTTGAGGCTAAGTGGATCATAACAAGGGACTTCAACATGATTGAGGATATAAATGGCAAACTCGGCAACAACAAAATGATAGGCTGAAGTCAATAGAAAATAAAGATTTGAAACAACCTTGTAGTTTACATGGAACTATACAATAGTTGCAAGTTTGATGTGTATAAGAAGGTGACGAATAAGAAGTACTTCTAGAACAATTGTCAAAGACAATAAAAAATGATAAGCATAAAAATAGATAGAATTTATGTTATAACTAGTCTTTTACAACTTAAAAGATAAGCTGGTATATGGACTACACTACTTCATGTATTTGACCATGCATTAGCATTCTTGAATCTCTAAGATACAAGAAACAACTTTGTTAAAACTTCTTGTTCAATAACCAACTATTTAAAAATAAGGAGACAAAGGTGGATCTTTTAAAAGCATAGAAATCCATGATAGTAGAAGGAAAGTACAAAACTTAGAATTTGCGGATAGCCAATGCAATAGTTGCTATCAAGCAATACAATGATTTAGAGACAAGGATGCAAAAATATGAACAACACAATATAAAGCACAATTGACAAAATTTATAAAATTAAAGAAGAATTATAGGAAAATTGGTTCAATCAAGAAACTCAAGACAAACAAGATGCAAACTAAGTACACATTCAAATAGTCAAGTACATCCAAATGGAAAAGAAATGTAACAAAGTTCTTGCTATATGGATATGCATAGGAGACATATATAACAAAGAATTCTTCAATGAACATACAAGCTACAAGAAACTAGTAGTGATCAAGAAATTAATAAATCGTGAGAGAATTCTAGTAGATTATTAAGACATACACCTATATGGATAATTTTTATGCAACACTCTATTTTAGAAACTATATAGTCGAAAAAAACCTCATGGCCAAAAAAATGTGTCTATAAAACATATTTGTCCAAATAACAATAGAACAAAATGCCAAACTCACACAAACATCCAATATAATAGAGCTAAGGAGGTAGTCAATGATCTACCAACACAAAAAACGCTTGTAGTAGATGGCATTCCTATTGACTTCTTCAAGGAACTCATCACCTATATAGAAGAAGATTTATTAGCCTTCATTGCACATGTCTTTAAGGACTTTATTCTCTATAAGTCATTCAACAAAAGTAAGATTAGTCTCTTATCCAAAAGTGGTAATCTAACCTGAATTATAAATTACAAGCCTATTTCTTTACTAAAATTAGTATACAAGATAACAACTAAGATCCTAACAAACAAAATATTACGTATCCTACTATTATGGATTAGTCACTCCTAAATTATATTTATAAAAGGCCGTTGTATATTTAATAATATATTTATGGCATTTGAAGCAATTGAATGAGCTTCAACAAGCAACCAAAAACTCATTTTACTTCTTGATTTCAAGAAAGAATATGATAGAGTCTCTTAGTCAATGCTCAAAGATACAATGAGAAGTACGGACAACAAAGCAATGCTTATTGTGAACAAGAGCTTGAAAAATTGAAGCCCCAAAAACTTGTCCTTTTCAAGTTGCATCTTTACTACAAACCAGGACATTCTGGCCACCATTTGATATCTCTATTCATGCTCAAACATAGCCACATCATTATTCAAACAGATTAAAACTCTAATACAAAACTACACTTGGAGCGCAGCGGTGAGCGACACAATTAGAACCAAGGTTTTATGGAAAACGGTGGTATAACCCACGACAGTTGGTAGGGTGAAGATTCTTGACCAACTCCACTAGAGGTATTTCTTCTTCAACACCTTGCAACATATAATCCAGCAACGCCAAAATTCTAACCAATCAGAAGCATAAAAAGGTGGGGAGACACACATCACTTGCAGGGGAGCAAATTGCAACCCGTACAGGACACATCAATCTCTCAACTAGCTCATTTGGACAAAGCTATCGATGCCCTTTTCAAAGGGGCCTGGCTGGAGTTGGGGGGGAATTAATGAGTGGAACAACAAAACCAAGACCAACAGGCCACACCAGAGGAAGAGCCAAAACAAGATCACGAGATAGGGCATACGGTACATAGACAATCAAGCCCGGACACAACAAATTTCCTTAACACGGTGTTGAAAAACAAAATCGACGAACTGTTATCAGATGTGGAAGCAGACCGACATAGGGAGGCCTCAATCACAAACAGGGCGGCAGCAGAAGAAGAACACACTACACGAGAATTAACCAATCCTACAGCGTTTACGCGACAACTTTCGAGGTTTACGCAACAACTTGAAACCTGTAAGGTGAGGACTATCGCAGATGGATGGAAGATGGGATGGGTTACTTTAATCTTGGTCTGAGACACCCTAAGTAGGTATGGTAGATCTCTCAAAATCAATTAGTCAAGAAACGACCAATGGCCATGTAAACCAGTGCCTCGGCACACAATCCCGCGTTATTTGCACAACATAACTCCTCTGGGGATTTCTTGGTATTTACCTCGCAGTTGGATATATGGTTGTCATGTGTGGTTATTTACAGTACTTTGATACAAGGTTGATATTATCTTTTGGATTCGGTAGAACGAAATGTTGAGCAACTGGAGGAACATGGAAGTTGCTTTGCTTAGATGGAAAAACGTGTGGTATCCCCACATATATCGTGGTATAAATGATTTCATATTGTGCCGCTTCTCACAGCAAAGCGGGCAAATGCCAGAGAATCGTGTTACATCCGATGGAAAAGAATTGTTGCATCAGCTCTTTGTCTACTGAAGCTGGTGTATACTATATACAGAAAACTCGAAACAACTTTATGCTTTCGAGCTTCTACCTCTTGCTGGCTGTTTCCCCTGTTGTGTGTTTTTTTCCTTCGTCTTCACCGTGTCCGCAACTTGCACCCGAACTCCCGTCTCTAGGAAACGTTCCTCCTCGTCGGATCACGTGTGATAATATGTCGGTAAATTAATCAATCTGAAGATCACTATCCCACGCACGCAAATGTGCGAATAATATGTCCTGAATAACTTCGACAAGCAATCAAACATGAGGAGATTTTCCCGTGAAGATCGTTTCCACTCGGATGGTAAACCTCTGGCATCATGCACCAGATCAGATGGTCACCTCATGCTCAAGTCCAAATGGTCTTCTAGTCGATGACTCACACTCGAGATTATGCAACAGATTCTTCACTCAGGCGAGGCCTTCTCTCGGGGCTGTTCACTTCTGAAGTATCAGTCGGTTCCACCATTTTTCTCTTAGAGCCACAAGTGGATCCTGAGTTTTCACTGGCGGTTCCCGAAGAAGTGTCCGAAGTTGTGTGGACTGGCCTTATGTGACCCCGCAACCGTTTGACGTCTGCCATTTGGACTGGCTTGATGATGAATTCCTCGGCACCTTCCGCTAGACATCTGTGAGAAACGCAACACATGGGATGAGTTTAACACATCCAGTTGTGAGCTTCACAATCGACCAAGGCTGACTTAAAAGGAATGCACTGAACGGAATTGATCGAGGATTTCAGTCAAAACGCATCGATTAGTTACGATGCACAGTTGTGGCAACGGAAGCTTGTCTCTACATACGAGGGGAAGTAAGGAGGATATATTAAGGTGGGTAGGAGGACATGGTTACCTTTCGATGCGATTGCTATCGTTTTCTGAAGACATGACCACAACAGGAATTTCCTTCAATGCTGATGTGTCGGCCTGCAAATTCAGCAGATTTTGTGGAATTTAGTAACCATCAAAGAGCTTAAGTACTCACTACCAACTCGATTCCCAACGCTTGAAGGCCAACACATGCGCGAAGAGTATCAAAGACTACCAAAATGATGTAATCAAGTTCGTCATTAGCAAGAGTTTGAGCACCTTCACTCGCTTGAGGAGGTCGTAACCAGTCATCTCTGGCATGCAATAATCCGTCATTATCAGGTTGATATCCAGCTTCTGTAGAAGCTCACACCAAGTTCTTCTCAATCGCCAAAATAAATAAAAATAGAAAACAGAAAAAAGAAAACAAGACGGCACGACGAGAGCGAAATAAATTTTCTGTGCAGCAGACCACGGTGCATTAATTATGCGGATAGCACACTTTCATCAACAACAAGCCCATCAAGCCATGAACAGGCACCTTGATAGAACTGGGGCTGCTATCTGAAAGACCCAATAGCTCTAAAGCCCTCAAAGCACTGTTTACGGTTGTAACTGCGCACCATAACAAAAATACGTCAGGTCCACAAAGGTTAATTTTCACCACCACTCCCTTATTTATCAAATTAGTTTTTATTTAGCTAACACACACATACACACACACACACACAAAAAAAAAAAAAAAAAAAAAAAAGGAGAAGCAAATAACGATAGCTGACCTTTATATGACGATGTTTTCAGAAGCTTCTCAATAACTCTTTGATCGATACGGCTGTCGTCCACAGCAAGAACGTGATATTGAAAAGAGCTGACAACTGGCACGGGTTTTATTCCTACCAGATCAGATCGAAGCTCTTTCTGGACAGACTCTGCACAATAACTCTCTATGCTAGCAGAAATTAGGCTAATTGATTCAGCTGTTGTTTCCCCCACCACTTTCCGCTGCACTGGGTCTTCGGTGCAAGTAGGTGGTGCCGTCGCCTTCGATGTCTCAGAATAGCTCTGCCGCGCTTTCTTTGGTTTGTCGAAACCCATATCCTGCAACTTAGTCTCCGCGACTTTCGGAGGCTTTGAATCTTGTATAGAATCCAGTACAATAGACTCGTTTGACACCTCCGGTTCTAAGGATTTTCGCACCATTGTCGCCAGAGCCCAATGGCGTCTCGTCTCAGCTTTTTGTTACATACAATGCTACGTGTTCAAATCAGTGTCCGGTTCAGTGTTTGAAACAGGTTCCGACTCCTTTCATATTTGAGAAAAAGAAAAAGAAAATTGAAACGCGAACCGTGTATCAATCACATCGCCCCATGTGCCGAGGTCTAGTAGTACCAACAGAAAGAGCTGGTCGTTCTTCGTGCAAGGATTTGTTACAATCCAGACGTTAAAAACTAGGCCACTGTCCCTTCGCACCTGCTCAGTTTGTGGCGGATGACGCCACCACACACTGCTTGTGCTGCATATCTGGGTGGGCTCCCTGATAACTGTACAAAGCGAAGCAAATTATATTAAATATTGTACAGAAACATCTAGAGCCAGGTATTTTGCAAAGAGCATAGAGAATCAAGGATGTATTGACCTCTGGTAAGACTCTGTGCGCGCTAACGTGTTCGGTGAGCAGATTTCACCCAAAAGCGCTTCATCTACAATGAAACAGTACCGGAAGCATCCATTACGACCAATTACCACGAGCCTACGGAATAAATTGACACCATCTCGCACTTATTCGGTCATTTACAATAGACGTAGCGCATTCTAAACAGGAACAAGCCCCGTGCTCGAATTTTAAGCATTCAAAGAGACCCACTCGCCTCGTTCGTCACACCGGACCTACGTCTACTTTATCATCCGCAGCAACAGAGCCACCAGCAAAGCCCCCTCGACAACAAGACTATGGAATCTCTGATACCCAAAGGAACAAAATCAAGGTCATCGAGATTTGCGTTTCTCGAACACTGCACCCCTCGCAACTGCAAACAATTCGCACCTAAAAATTGCGAGCCAAACTTGACTCCGACAGTTTCACCAACGAAGACTTCATGAACAACAATAAACCCTCAGGAATCGGCAGGGATCAGAATGTATGCAGCTCCGCTCCTGCAACACTATTCTGCGTGAGGAATCGCAGATTTGAGCCGCGGGTTTCCTTCTACCACACCGGGTCAGCCTTACCAGAACCTATTTCCCAGAAGACTAACATTCACCCTCAGAAAAAAAACTACGAACAATCCACCCAACTGCCGCACGTTCCCACCTGTCTGTCTAGCTGCCTGGCCGCAACACAACTACTCCCAACAGCCTTGAATCTTCGGTTCGCAGTCGGATCACTCACCTCGACGTGCTCTCTTCTCACGAACCTCCCTGAGAGGAAAAAAGACAAGCATACACCCTCAAGGCAGCCTCACAATGTTGAGCACGATGTAAGGGAAAGACGAAAGAGCGCTTCGCTAACTCAGCTCCCTCCTACGAGATTGGCTTGGTACCTCACAATTACCAAAAAGCTCCCATGATCAATCAAGCGTCACTATAGCAAACCCCGTCCAGGGTTCGGCGAGCTTTCCTCCTCGACAGGGCCCCACATCGGCACCCACCTGCCCGCCATGCAACGTTCCCACCCTTGCCTTCGGGGAACGTCGACCTCGCTCCACACCCCAGTCTCTAGCAGTGTAAATTTTCCCATTTCTCGATCGCCTTCCGTGCTTACAAACACTAATCCGCACTCTTCCACTTGGGTCGTGAACCTCCTGAACCTATGTCGCATTTCCAGGCTTTCTCTGCCAGGATTCGGTTGTTTCTTCCGTCTGCTGCAACCGATTCTGGTCGTGAATTTCGCTTTGCTGGTTCATCGTGGTTGCTTGTTGACTCTCCCCTCCCGCCCTGATTGAGACGCGGGAGAGCTCAGAGATTCGTGAGAAGATTCGTAACCGTGCGCTAGTCCACTTGGACATGGATCAGGTGACGCTGGTTGGATCGGTTCCTGGGGTACCCATGCCACTCTGTGTTTGCGGTTCTCGCAACACGGAGGGTTTTAGTGTACTGAAGTCTTGTGGTGCGTGAATACTACAATTGAGCCTCTTTGGGTTTTCATATGAACTCGTGTTTTGATACAGATCAACCCTTCTCTGGTATACGCAGAACAAACGTCAAAATGAGACTTGCTTGCTTCGTGTGCAGGTTATGTGTTTGTTTCTTCTTGTATCCAAGTTTAAGAGGGCAAATTAACACAAACTTCAGTTAGTCCAAGGTGCATGCTGGCTCCTAGGAATTCCTCATTCTGCCACCATCACATCTGGTGATTGAATAGCGAGAGAAAACCCACGAAGCAAGGGGCTTTGTGAGCAAAAGAGAGAGAGAGAGAGAGAGAGAGGGGGGGGGGGGGAGGGGATGTGTGTAAGGAGATGCGGCAGAGCAGGAGGCCAAGGGAAGCAGATGTTCTCAGGGGGGCAACTGGGAACAGGCGGTGCCGGGCAGGTTACTGCAAGCTCGAGCTGCCCCGATGCCAGCGGGGAAGCCTCGTGGGCGTCTTATACTGTGAAGTTGCGATCAGAAGCGGGGCGCAGAAGAGGAAAAACAAGCCTGGAACAAGAAAAATGGAGCGCCTAAAATTGCAAAGTCAAACAGGCAGCGCCCAGCTGCTATGATTATAATAAACCACATGCCACAGCCACTGGCAACTGTTCACAAGATCTCACCATGATCTACGGCAACAAGCTCATGTACGCAACAGACTAGAAAGACACAGCAAAATCGGGAAATATATATATATATATATATATATATATAAGTTGAAACAAATTCAATATCCTGGGAAGCATAATGCCAATTGAATGCAGCGAGTGCCCAAGCAAACAGAAACAGCAAACAAGTCCAGATATCGCGGTCACAGCGATTTCTTATCCACTACTGTTATGCCTAAGGCGACAAGAAAAATGTCTAAAATTAAGGATCCGAGCTAAAAAGCCAGATTTGGTATGGCTTCCTTTTTCACTGTAGAGATTTTGCCGACGCACCATTTTTGGTATGCCCTCCTCTCGGCCTCCTTCCGTGGAGTCCAATGTCCACATCCCTTCGGCCCCACATTGTTTTCCCTTTCCCTCAATTTCCTTGATCTTTTTCCCGGCCCCACTGCGCCACGCCATTTCTACAATTTCAACTCTTCGTTCGTTGAGAAGTTACACTTCCTCGCTCGGCATCGAGTTTTCACTTCCCCTCTCAACTCTGATTTTACCTGTAGCTGGGGCTTACGCCAGAGGTCAGCTCCGACAAGAACGCACCCTCCACAGACAAAATCGCTCACCAAATCGTCCATGCTATCATGCCCAAATCTCAGCCCAGGCTAATTATACGCACATTCAGGGTGCAAGTCACATGGCCCTGGTGCATGTCTGGGTGCCGCACCCAGTTTATCGCGATGGCTCCTACACTTCCCCGAGGCAATTCATTGTCCCATGATCGACATCTATTCTTCCAATACAATAAAAGATTAAAACAAACTAAAACGCCCTTAACATCGTTTTCGCTTCACTGGAAGATGTCGAGATTTGTTAACTATTCACTCTTGGTGGAATGAACCACCAAGATTAAATCCTAACCGAGGATTTTTAAGTTTAACAGCTTAGACCCCAAATTGTGGTGTTGTCGGCCCTTGGCTCATACACTGCAATAATGATGCATGGGCCGTGTACTCGATCGCGGTCGAGGTCGCACTTTCCCCGCCGATGCCTTGTTGGGGTAACTCATTATTCCTTTAATTCCAAGCGAACATGATGTGCTTTGTGACCTTCTTGCCACTTCCTAACAGAATCATTCTTGTACGACATCGTCACTGATTAAATAGTGAATAAAATATTAGCACACGGGTTGCTTGCAGTGACGCTATGGGCTTGGTGTTAAGCAACTCCGAAGAATTTGCTGCTTTTGGTTGAAAGCTGAATATGATTTCCCACCTACCTGATCGGCAGTACCTCGTAGAAAGACACTGTTTGTGCGCATCAGATGAATCATTATGGTAATTTATAAACGAGCATTTATTTATGAAACAATCTGTGTCTTCTCAGATTGGTTATATATTTGTTTCATTGTTTACTAAAAGGGATGACTTGCTTCACTCGGTGTGTTCGTGGGACTGAAGCATCAGGGTTTAGATTTCTAGGGCTGAGTGTTGCTGGACGACCCATCCTCGTTTATATTATTCAGTTACTGCAACGACTCCTGAAAGTTTGCCAATAGCCGTACAGGATTGGCAGGCTGGACGTAATTCTAAGGCTCGTAAGAAATAGTTTCTTTTGGAGAATGCTGCTTATTTTAATGAGAAGTAATTTCGATCATTACAATCATATTCTTGAGCTCAGAATCATAAATTGTTTCAGTGAGGTTAGTTGCCAATCTTAGTGTACAAGATCGTTTGTCTGATTGTAGTGCATCCTCAAACTGGAAACAAATAGATACTGGAGTTTCAGGTACAAGAATCATCTTGAACTCATTCAATTCGTTTGGCGGAGCTTGTTAACGCAAAATCGGAGCAATTGAGGATTATCATCAACAGAAGGTCTTGAGCAGATGTTTGATTTTAGACTTGAGCGAATATGAAATTCATTTTCAGTACGATGTTTTTTATTTATTTATTTATTTTGTTTTATTTTTCCCATACATAGACCTCAGAAATCTCAACTCATGAAAAGATTATTACGTCATCCAGGCAGTTCAGACCTAGCTCATGGATCAGCTTATACAAATGAAAGGCTAGCTTGTATAGTCCTCACCCTTAAATTTAGCTGTAAAACTAATCGTTAACGAAGAGGAGAAAAAAAGAATCTGTGGCCATAAATTGAAGCAGGAATTAGTTAGCGCGCATCGGAAGAAGTCCTTCGTAAGTGTATTCCACAACCGTTAGCCACGTTAGCCACTTCAAAATTAACCACCGTGCAATCATCAAATGGCTGTCCATACCCTACTGAGATCTGGATCACAAATTCGACAAAGATATCATCTAGATTGTGGATCCTGCCTCAGGCACACCAGCATATGAGACTATCAACAACCCCTCAAATATATCCCAGCGTAACGAATTCTAGAAGGAATGGTGAGAGCCAGTAAACATCGTTCACGAATTTGCATGCGTATCGATCTAGCACTTGACAAAAATGACCTGAAGTTACCTCGACAGGAAGCGGCGGCGAGAATGGGCTCACCTGATACTCAATAACCGCAAACAGCAGTCTAGATTGAGTTGCACATCAACAAAAAACCCTAAACTGGGAAACTGTAAGACTCTTCAACGGTAGAGCACCTTTACAAAACAGCACAAGGGGCCGTAGGCGGGGTTGTAATACAACCAGGCAGCTGCTACACACCGGGGTCACTCAAAGCACGACGGTCTCTGAGGGAACCACCAAACTGACACGACCATCTCATCGTCGAGACATCCCAAAGGAACACAGTGCAAAAACATCACTAGGCGAAAACAACAGTCCTATCACAGTTCGATAATCAAGCTTAATAGAATTGGGTCACCACTGAAACACCCGAGGGATGACATTCATAGCTCACAGTCAGGCAGAACCTTTCGAAGGCGCTTGATCTGTAGGTGTGTGGCGATGCGATTGAGGACAAGCCGCACATCACGGCGAGGGCACCCATGCTGTCGTCGCTAAAGCACGCCCTTTACCCAAATCAGCTTCTCGCTTATCTTCCGGAGAGCACTACGTTGCTTGCAGCCATGCAACGGCAAGGTTCACGGGAGCGTAGCCCACATCCAAGCACTGAGTCCTGCCACAAGGGCACCATCACCACCAACACCCATTGCGTGCATTGATAGATCGCATGGCACAGATATGTATGCCGATGGGCACAACAACAACACCATCACCGCTCGAATCGTGAGGGAGAGTGGCGACAGATCCAAAGCTTGTGCAACATGTCTAGACTTTGGAATTGGGTGATCGTGATCGATCGATCGAGAGTAGGTGCCATGCCATGCGGACTGCAGCGTCTCTGTTACGAAAACTGGATGAATAACATTATGTTCCAAATGAGAATGTGCCTGAAGCCAAGGGGAGGGCACTTCCAGTGTATTAGTTAAGAGCTAAATAAGTCAAAGCTTTCAGTACATAGAATATGCGACATTCAACACTCTTCTTTCAAAAGTTGGACTTAATTCTCTACTGAAACAAGACCTAATATATTCCTAGAAACTAGAGAGGTTTTGTAAAGATGTCTGCTGCCATTTGCTCTGTGGGAAAATACTCCAAACCAATTTGTCCTTTCTCGACACATTGTCTAATAAAATGATGTTCTATATCTCAATGCTTTGTATGGTCATGATATGCTCGATTCTTGGTATTAGCAATGGCATTCTTGTTATCTTCATAAATAAGAATTATTTCTAGTTTAGGAAAGTCATAATCCCTAAATACTTTAGAAAGCCACAAAGTCTCTTTTGCTGCAACAACCAAAGCTGCATACTTTGCCTCCGTTGATAAAATAGAAACTAAAGATTGCTTCTTACTTCACTAAGTGATAATTGCCTTATCCAATATAAATGCATAATCTCCTACTAAATGATGTATCTCTACACAACCTACTCCATCTGCATCACTGTAGCCTACAAGTTTCAAATTTGATTCCTTTCTTCTATATTACAATATCAAATATTTTGTTCTTTGCAAGTAACAAAATATTTGTTTGATTCCTTATTAATGCAAAACATATAGATGTGCCATATATTTGGCAAAGTATTGATAAGCAAATGCAATGTCATACCTTGTATCATTTACAAGGTATAATAACAAACCTAAAACTTTTTGATAAAGCTTTAGACATTTTGCATCTAAAAGATTATCATTCTCATACTTAGTGACATGACTTCATATTATTAGTATAGCAATAGCTTTTGCATCTTTCTTCCCAAATTCCTTTAACTTTTGATAAATATACTTAGTTTGGTTCAAATTAATAGTATTATTTTTCTTATCCTGCAAAAAATCAATGCAAAAAAAATCACTAGATTCACCAAGATCTTTCATCTTATAGAATTCTTATAATTCATCCTTATATTTCACAAGGATCTCAAAGTTCTTACCACCAATAAGTACGTCATCAATATAAATAATTAATATAAGAATTAATTCTTCAATATACATTGTGTACAAACAAAGGTCTCATTTTGAGCATCTCCAATCAAGATTTAATAGAGATTTATTCAAATTCTTGTTCCATCCATTTCCCAATTGCTTCAAATTGTATAAAGTCTTTAGCAATTGCAATACTTTGCCTTTTGGTTCTGATGGAACTTTTAAATCTTCTAAATTTTTTATTTAATGCCTTCTTCTTTAAGTTTATCATTTAAATAAGCTGAAACAATATCAACTTGTAACATATTCCAATTAAGAATAGCAAAAATTGCAACAAATATGCAAATTATTGCAAGGTGAATAATTGGTGCAAAAGTTTCTCAGTAATCAAGATCCTTTACTTGAGTAAAATTCTTTGCAATTGATTATGCTTTAAAATGTTCAATAAAGCCATTGCTAATGAATTTTTGCTTAAAAATCCATTTTGAATCTACAGCCTTCATATCATTGGATAAAAATGAAAATTCTCATGTACCATGATCTTTCAAAGAATTGAATTCTTTCATTATGGTATGACTCCACTCTTTGCAAAAAGATGAATTCATGGCTTATTCAACAATCTCTAGTTTTACATATTCATAAATATGAACTATATCCATTATTTTAATTGACAAGTCATAATCTCCTCAAATAAAATTTTTGTCTTTTTTCTAAGGTATGCAAAGCATTCTACTACCATTTATAATATTTTTTGGATCAATGCTATTTACATAATGATGTCTTGGTGGTAGAGCTTGAGTAGTTGCCTCCACTTTTTGTTGATGGAATTCCACTACTTCTATTGATATAGGATTTGCTCCTCCTCAACCATTTTTTCATCTAATCCATTATGTATATGTAATCTTGAGGCTTAAGTTTGGGATATTTCTAATTTATTTGAATTTTAAAAATCTAATATACCAAGATTATTTCTATGATCTATACCTTCTCTAATTCTCTCTTTAGAGATTAATGGCTTACCAAATAATTCATTTTTGTTATCAAGAAAAATCACATCTTGACTAAGGATCACCTTCTTTTCTTCAAGTAGAAAATTTTCATATCATTTTTCTACTTTTTAATATCTAAAAAAAATACCATTCCTTACCTTTGCATCAAGCTTTGGACGTTTTTCCTATGGTATGTGATACTAAGCAGAAGAACTAAAGCAATGAGCATTTTGAAGAGAAGGTTTTTTAACATAAAAAACTTCATGTGGTATCTTACCACTGAATCTTGTAAGTGAAAGGCGATTACAAGTCCAAGTCACAAATTTTGATGCAAATGTTGAATATTGACTATCCAACTTGGGATTATCTAAAACTATTTGTATTCCTTCAAAAATAGTCTGTATCATATACTCTGCCATATTGACAATTTTAAGTGTATATGTATGAGTAATCATGTGTCAAATACCTTTAGCTTTGAAGTAAGAACCAAACTTACTATTCAAAAATTCAATACTTTGATCAATGAAAAAAGTTTTTACTTTCTTTCTAGTTCTTTTTTGTGCCTCTACTTTCCAAGTCTTATAAGCAATATTTACTTGGTCCTTGGTTTGAATAAATGCAAGGCTACAATAGCCAAAATATTCATCAATCTACACAACTAATCATTTGGTACCACCAAAGTTAGCTATATCAAAATAACTAAGGTCAGACACTATTACATCTAAAATACCATTGGTATGCTTATGCTTGTGTGAGAAAGATTACCTATGGGCCTTATCAACAATGCATGATTCACATATAGATATTTTATTATTCTCCTCTTTGATCTTTAATCCTTCGATACAATTCATTCACTCTGCCTTTCTTATTGTATACATTAAAGTATATGCTAATGCTTGATGCCATTCAATAAGTATATGACTTGAAATAGATGAGGTAGAAATTGTGGCAACTTCTTCAATTTCACAAGGTATTAGGTAAGCTTTACTTGTTAACATGCCTCATATGAGTAAGTCACCTAAAAGTAGAATCCAATCAACTCCATTGATATCTAAGTTAAATTTGTAACCTTTCTTGCATAAAGTTACAGTTCATAATAAAATATCATGTGATCTAAGAATCTAATGGACATCCTTCACAACCACAAGAATGTATTTTCTTATAGGATCTAAAACTGTGAGATGCATTTTATCTAAGCTTCATGATTTGTTAATGCCACCATCATAGCCTTGGAGTTGGATAGTTGCATTTTCATTAAAATTAAGAAGTTTACTCCTATCTCTTAGGATATGTACATCTGCTATACTATCCATGCATACATAATATCATAATTGAGATAATGATGCAGTTATTATTTTTGAATTAAATGATGCCTTTTGAGCTCAAAGAATAATAACAATTCTATTATTTACTACACCATTGCTATTTGCTTTAGGATATTATACATCACCTTGCTAATGCTTCTTCTATCTATAAGCCTTATAATTACTTCTAGACTTATCAATTTTAGATTTATATTTTTATTATGGATGGTACTTCTTTAAGACTTACTTTCCTCTTGCATACACTGCTAAAGCAAAAAGTAGAGAATTAATTTTTTCTTTCTTTTGCATCTTTTCTTCAAAGAAAATAGATTGCACCACTTTTTATTGTGATCTCTTTTCTTTTCTTTAATACAATAATCTAAATGAGTAGATTCTAAGATTTTGGTAATGTAGTAAGTATAAAAAATGTCATGCTTTGTTTGTCCATTTCACCATCAACTTTAATATATTGATTCTTAAGATCAAAAATCTCTTCAAAGAAAATCTTCATAGATTTTTCATCCACATATTGAAGTTTATATAATTTCTTCATTAAAAATACCTCAGTAATAATTTTTGAGGGCTTATGGATCTTAGTCAATATTTTTTACATTTCTTTGGTAGTATTACATTTGCATATATGAGTCAATTGCAAAGGCTTAACTTTGAGTGCAATCAATGCTTATGCTTGTACTTTGCTTGATTTCTATTTTAATTTTTTTATCAATATCTATAGGATACTTTAATGTTCCATCTACATATATGTAGAGCTTGCATATGCGCATCAAGTGTTTCATAACAAATGTCTATGTACCATAGTTTTTCTCATCTAATCAATCACTATGATGATCTATTTAAGATGACATTGCTAAATACAATTAATACAATAGCAACAAATAACTATAAGAGAAAAATTAACAAATAATATACAAAATATAATATTTAGAGAGTATTAGTAGTATGAAGCTATATTGGAGCAAAAAAACTTATTTTTACTATCATTAATAAATAAATTTTAATTAAATAAAAATCACCATCAATAGAATTAAATTCCAGCTCTAGCAGCTGCGATAAAGCTCCAATAGGGCTGCAGCAGCTCTTTAGCTTTGGTAGCATTCCAACAATAATTGAGCTCTGATAGCAGGTAGAACATCCATTTTTTATCCAAATTCTATCTAATGATATTTATCCATGGCATTGTTTTTTAGAATGATATTCATCCATAGTATTATTCATCCAACTTTGATATAATGTTACAAAAACTAGATGAATAACATTTTGTTGCCAATAAGAATATGCCGGAAGCTAAAAGGAGAGTACTTTTGGTATCTTAATTAATAGCTAGATAAGTCACAGCTTTTGGTACATAGAATATGTGTCATTCAATAGTCTTGTTATCAACACTTGCCCTCCACTTGAGTTGAGTTTACTTGAATGGAGTCTTCCACTACTTTTTATGATACTTTTACTTCTACTTGTACTACCACTACTTCTGTTATTACTCTTACAACAACAACAACAATAACAATGTTGCTTTTCATTTGGATGTGTTGATGTGTTATTGTTTTTATTTTGAAAGCAAAAGAAAGAAAGAAAGGATGAGGAAGACTAATAAAATAAAGTTTTGGTTCAAGTTATTTATTTTTGGTTTATTAATGGAAATATACTTTCTAGTATCCATTAGAAGTTCATGTCAAATTTTTTTAATAAGAAGTTCTTTACTATAAATTTTAAAATGGTAAAAAAAAAAAATAA